AGTGAGAAAGGAGAGGAATTGATTGAAATTGGTGGGTGAATATGGAATGGAATCAATGAATATATGAGAGAGGGCGTGCGGCTTTTGTTTTATACGTGGAGTGATGATGGTGACTAGATGGTATATGGTGAATGTGGGATATAGGAAGTGATTGACGATGGATGATGCTTGTGGGTGTGAATGGAGAAGGAAAAGTGATGCTAGGCGCATGCTGGAGGGATTATTTTAATAGGAGAAAAGGAATTTTTTTGGATCCAAAATTCAAGCTCATTAGTAATTAATTGACCCACTTGATATTAGCTATTGGATTGTACTTAAATTCCAAGAAACAATCTTGCACAATTAGATTTCCTGTGTGCCCCTTTCTTGACCTACAAGAATTTAAGTGCATCCATTAATATAGATTATATCCAAATATAATCAAAAATTAAATATCAAATCTACACAAAAATTAGGCAAGAAAGTGCAAAACTTTCTAAAAATAATCTTTCTAAAAATATGAGACTTGTTTCCAAAGAAATAGAAAAAAAATTAATTTCAAGTCAAAAATAGGAATTCACAAAATATTTATATTTTTAATCCAAAATCTCCATTTTTATGCAAAATCCAAAAATCAACCAATTAATTCAATAATACATAAAATTCCATTTAAGCTCAAAATTATCATTTGAATCCTAATTTAATGTGGGATAAAATGTATAAAAATTGGGCTTTATCAAAACTCGATCAAACAACCAATGGACCACGTGACAGATGGCGAGATTGGGCGTGATTGCGTCAGGGACAAGAGCAGGGGAAGAAGGCTCGTCAGGGGAAGAAGGCTCCTCTGTGTGAGGGAAAAAGGAGAGATTGACAGAGGGAGAAGAGCCGACAACAGTCATGGAAGCAGAACGGCCGGAGAGAGGGAGGGAGGGAGAGCAACCGGCGATAGTGAGGGAGGGATGAGCAGCTGAGTTCTGACTTCTGAGGGAGGGAGCGACGACTAAGAATGAAGAAGGAGATGAGAGATGAGGCAGAGGGGAAATGAGCGTAAACCTGGGTTGGTGTAATTTTTATGCTCATTTAATGCCACACTAATGGTTTAATGCATTTTCAAACTCTCAAAAGTTGGTTTTCAGAGCGATGGGCTGGCTGAATCTTTTGGGCAGAAGTTGGTTAGTTTAAAAGGAGATCCAAACAATCATTTCTAGATAAATAAGCCATAAAAATCAGTTTCACGTTTTCCTATATGCTTTTACCATTTGAAACGCCAATCCAAACATGGCCAAAGATGCTGCACGCCTGCAAAGAGTGATGAGGTAGCATTTTAGAAAAGAGCCCATTTTTAAGTAAAAGAGTAATATTATAAAAAAAATTTAAATAAAATTTTTTATATTTATTATATTAAGTTTTCCATAATTAAAAATCTTGACATAATGAAAATAACAAACTAAAAGAGTATATCTCGTTTAAAAATAGGAAAAATGACACTGAGATCCTATGGAACACAAAATACTATAAAAAGATCAAAAAAAAATTGGTAATGAATCTGAAATCCTAAAGGGACTTGAGTGCAATTTAGTAAAGTGTAAAAAGACTTCTCTATCCCAGTTGAGATGCATCCAAGGTAACTGAAAATTACTTTGTTCTTCAGTCTGAAAATCGCCACACTTTACACAGAAAGCAAAAAAGAAAAAACCTAAACTTCATTATTTTTCTTCCCCATTCCCATATGAAAATCTCATCCACTCCGCCCATATCAACCATTGGCAAAAATCACTTATGTTTTTGGTTTGATGTATGCTTGGTTATTTAAGTTGGGGTTTTATTATAGGTGGGTAAGGTGATGTTGGATGTTCTATTTTTAGGTATATTGTGGAGGGTTGAAGGTGCACTTACTTTGTTTGGGCATAGTTCGGTGGGAATTGATAAGGAAGATGAAGGTTGGTGTGGCTATAAACCCTATTGCGAAACAAGAAAATATGTTGTCAATATGAGTCGCGATAATTGTCAATATAGCTCATTGACTTGTTAATGATACCTATGTTGTGTAGATTTACGTCAAATGATATTGTTAAATTTTTGACACAAAGGCCATAACCTTCTATGCCTTTGACTCGTTGGTAGAGGATACAAAAAGAAGAAAAAGAGGCAATGAAGAAGGATGGGTAGCCACATAAGGCAAAAGAAAAAAAAAAGGTTAAAAAAAAGGCCACTTTGAACCTGGACAAGACAAATGATGGCAAAATGATTTTTTTGCAAATAGAAGTGACTTTTTTTTTTTTGTAAATGTCACAATACACACAAATAATTAGTTTGATATTAAATACATGCCATTGTATTTTTTTAATGTGTTGTGAAATCAGTATAATTACATGTGTATGAAGTTGTAAATAAAAGTTGGCTATATATTATATTTTGATGCATAATCAGTTGTCATTATCTGCACCCTGCATTTTTAATATATCCTTCATCACTTGTTACTAATTGCACTATCAGTTGTCAATTTACGTGTTGATATAAATTTAAAAAAATGTGATTTCAAGTTACATAATATCATACGACATCATATAATATCGTCAATTCATCTAAACTAATATATTTTGGTTATAATGTGATATAAAATTGTTATTAAAAGTCAATCATCATTAATATGAAGTTATGAAATCACTTGTCATGAACAACATATTCACTTATTACTGGTTTCAATGTGACTTGTCAATAGTTACACTATCACTTGTTAATTTACTTGCTGATATAAGTTTGAAAAAATGTGAGTTCAAATTATATAACGTCCATACTGATACATGAGTTTTTTCTTTTGGCTGGCATAAGTTACTTTGTTTGTTGTGGTTTATAAGAAGGACTACTTTATCTTTACATATTGAATTTTTTTATATAATTCTTTTGGCGTTCATATTCTATCGGGGTTATATTGTTTTTTAAAAAAAAAAAAAACAAAGCAACCCAATTCTCAAAATCACATATATCAGTAGGAAAATTACCAAGTTATATGTAGACATTAACAATTGATGCAAGAAGCATTGATTTAAATTTGCAATTCTATTGTATTTTATTTAAAAATAGAATTATTATATCGTTTTATATCATGTTATCATCAGAATGTATTACTGAAATTTATGTTAATTAAACGGTATGTTTTCAAAACTTAAACAGATTCTCAATGATGTTATTGACAAGTCGCAATGTCACCATTAACAAGTAAGGTATCGTTGATGACAAGTGATTTGATAATTTTATATTAGTGATGATTGACTTTTAATAATGACTCTATATTATTATAAAAAGTGAATTAGTTTTGAGAAATTGGTGATATTGTATGACTTTGTATAGCATCATGTAACATAAAATCACATTTTTTTCAATTTATATTAGTACGTAAATTGACAACTGATAGTGCAGCAAGTGATAAGTGATAAAGGTGCATTGATAATGAAGGGTGCCGATAATGACAACTGATTATACATCATAATGTAATATATAGCTAACTTTTATTTACAATTTCATACACATGTAATTACACTAATTTCACAACCCATTAAAAAATACAATTGCATATATCTAATATTAATCTAATTGTTTGTGTATTGTGACATTTACAAAAAATATTATTTCTATTTACAAAAAAATTCTTCTACCCAACCTTTTTCATTGCATCTTCTTCCTTCTTTTGTAATATCTCCTAACAAACAAAAGCATAGAAAGTCATGGTCTTTGTATCAAAAATTTAACAATACCATTTAATGTAAATTTGCACAGCACAAGTCAAGCAGCTATATTAACAATTATCACGACTCATATTGACAATATATTTTCCTGTTTCGCAATAAGGGTTTTTGGCCACGCCAGCCTTCATCTTCTTCATCAATTCTGATTGAATCATGCCCAGACAAAGCAAGCCCATCTTCAACTCCCCATAATATACGTAAAAACAGAACACTTATCATCACCCTACCTACCTATAATAAAACTCCAACTTAAATGACCAAGCACACACAAAACCAAAAACATAAGGGATTTTTGCTAATAATTGATATGGGTGGAGTGGATGAGATTTTAAAATGGGAATGGGGACGAAACATAATGAAGTTTATGTTTTTTTTCCTTTTGCTTTCTATGTATAGAGTGACGACGGAAAACAGAGCAACTTTCATTTACTTTGGGTGCATCTCACTAGGGGCAAAGAAGTCTTTTTACACTTTACTAAATAGCACTTAAGTTCTTTTGAGACTTCACATTTATTACCAAATTTTTTGGGACTTTTTGCAGCATTTTGTATTGGGAAAACCATATTGAAGGTACCTATACTTTCTCTCAATTTTTAATTTGGTACCTATGTGTTTTTTTCCTTTTAATTAAACATTTAATTTTATCTTTTTAACAACATTAGCTCTTATAACTTTGTTCTATTGATATTTTTAGTCTCTACATAAGGATTAATGATGTTAATAGAACAAAATTAAAGATTTAGTTAAGAACAAAAAACACATAGGTACCAAATTGAAAATTAAAAAAAGTATAAGTACCTCCAATATAATTTTCCTTTTGTATTTTATGGGACCTTAGTGTTATTTTCCTTTAGAAAGATTGCACAATTTTATTTTATTACAATTTACAAGACTGATTTGAGAGTAATGAAATTTAAATAAGTAATTTATTTTTCTGGGATTTTCTCGGAATATGATATTCAATTCATTACATTCTTCCCTCCTGTCCTTCCTGCAATTCGCTGCTTGAAAATTGAAATCTCACTTAACTCTCGCTATTGCGCTTAACTGCTTCTTTGTTGTCTTCCAACACTTCTGGCTTCTGCTTTCACTATCCACCTGAAGCATTGCAGAAAGCATCCGACGCCAAGTTGAAGCCTTCAACGCGAAGTTCAAGATTTGACTCACACCGTCACACGAGCGCCTGAATCAGCTAGAGCTCTGTATTGAGTTCTTTGTACTGAACCTACAGTCCAAGCGCTGATTAACGGTTTGTTATTTCTTCTCTTACATTTCTACGGACCTCTTCACCCCTTGTTTTGCCCCTCTTGGTCGGACAAGAGTCCTCTCGAAAAATGGCTTTTCACTTCTTTAAACCGATTAAAAGCAAGCAAATGCATTGAACTAGACTCGGGGACGCTTGATGCATTTTGTTATTGATCTAAACTTGGCGACGCGCTTGAGTCTAGAAGTATTTTGTTTAATACTGTTCATAACCTCACTTTTTACAATAGACGGAGACCCATTGCTTTTTCAGTTATGACGTGAGGTTCGTGTGTACTCAGGTTCATGCGCCAAAAACTCTTCTGACCTTGAAAAGATGGGAAATTGTCGGTGGCTTATTCGTATTGGAAACTTTTTACTTTCTTTAGGGGATGGGGTCGGGAGCTACAGGTGCCCCGCTTTTTCTTGCCTTTTTTATCTTTAATTACCGAGTGCTTTATCGATGACTGGACTTGCGACAAAAATTCATTGCTTTTTCTTAACTCTAAATTTCATGAAGAGTTAACTTTCCCCTTAACCTCTTCTTCTACTCCTTTAATTTTTTTGCCCCCTTTTTCCTTTCAAAGTTTTCTGGACGGAAATTAATTTGAAAGGAAAGTTTGACAAGGCGCACTATCGTCTTGATAATACGTGGGTGTTTGTATTGAAAATGACAGGGAGCTGTGCATTCATGAGTTTGTTCTTACTACTTGGTCACAGGTGTTACAGTTCTTCACCTATTTTACATTCTCTATCTTGAGATCATTGAAGACAAACCTTTTAATAGAACTTCCGAGTGCAAAATACAGGCTTCACTGCAACTATGATGCCTGAAACGAATATGCAAAATCTATAATTACTTATTGCGCATGGGCTTACTTTGGGAACTTGACAACAATTTGACGAGGTTTGTGGAGAGGTTGTGCACTATTGAATGACAAATACAGTAATCGCAGGATGTGTGACTCATTGGTTATGCCGTCTGCGCTGAGACGGTAAGGGGAGGGGAGCGTTGCCTATACGTGTGCTCTGAACTATCTTCCTTTTAACCAATACTCACATATAATTTTATTTTCACAGAAGCGATTCTTCATCTGAATATTCACGTCTTGGCGCAAGTTATTGTGATTCAGAATTTCAGGCTGATGTTCTGAGTGAGCTTCATTGTGGTGACATATCCATAAGGGTAAGTTGGATAGCGGGGCTTCCTTACAATGATTTCATAGTAAGAACCTATAGAATAATAGCTGGAACAAATTTTGGCACCAAATACTTGCCTTTTTGTTGATTGATATATTCACTATTTTTTTTCCTGCTCATTGGCTTCAATTCAAAGTTAATCAAAGATTCTCCATATTTTATTGCTGTGACTGATTTTTTTTCCCCAACGGTAATATAGTGATGATTCTTATGAGTTGTTTTAAATGTAATCTTTAAGGTGAGAAGTGTTACGGAAGAGACAGAAAGAAATTTGTCACATGAACAAGGAAACAGTGCTGCTCTCAGCAGATTTCAACTTGAACAGGATGTGAGTTTTCTTTGTGCTGACTCATCTTGAGCGTGTTACTTGTTTCTTGTGGGAAAAAAATGGTAAAGGAACTGGATGATTTTTCATGGACCTTGCAAGATGATATTGGCCTCCCTTGTTACTGATTGAAATTACTTTCAACTTCCCATGATCTCTCTCTCTCTCTCTCACTCACACGAACACACGTAGAGGGAGGCATGCCTCACGCACATAGGCATCACATTTCCCTTGGTATGGTATGGAGAATTTCCTATTTGATTTTGATGAATCACAATTTTTATAGTTTTGGTCGTCATATGACTAATTTGGTGGCTGTCAGTAGGCATTTTATGCTTTTAATAACACATATAGGTTTATACAGCCAAATATCTTAGCTATCTTATAGTTGTTAACCCCTAATTTAGAATTTGACATCTCTACAGGTGCAACAATTAGAAAACCAGCTACTAGAAGAGGTGGAACTTCATGCATTCCTTGAAAATGTACTCGAGAGAAATGTCATCAGATTTTCTGGTCCAGCAAATCTCCCTCATCATGTATGTCCTTTTTTACCCCCAAAATATGGTGTCATATGTCCTGATTTAATGGGATGTGATACTAATGCACTTTAAAGTTCTATTTGCTCTTTTCCCACAAGGGAAAAAACTTATGTAGGTTCTTGGACTTCCCATAGGAATAGCTAGATTATCATCTTATAAACTATCAGCAATCCAAAATATTTTGCTTTTGAAGAGGATGAAGGCTAAAAGTAGAAACTTATTATTATCATTATTACTATTATTATTTTTAATGTCTTTGGTAACTTAATTTCATGTTGACGTTTCGCCTTGTCGTTGCCTTTTTTCCGATCCTGTCAGAGAGACATTTATTAACATAAATAGTGACATTTGATATTGTTGTAGATGTCCGTTTTTCCCCTTAGATTTAAATTAATATTTTGTTGGTTATGCTGCCTTCTATTTTGGTATGCTCTATTGTTGTATGCATGTTTTCAAATCAGGCTTGAGGTTCAAGAGACTTGAGTAGAACTCTTCAAATTTCTTTTGCTTGTGGCTAGAGATGTAATCCCTTTTTTTTGTTTCCTTGTTTTTTTTTGAAGAAGATGATTACATTACATACTTATTTGATTGATTAGAGATTTGTCTATGCTTGAAGGATGATACTCGATCGGACCTCAAATAAAAAATGTAGATTCTGTGACTTGTAGGAGAAATTTAAATCACTAGATTGATAGAAAAGGCAAATTTGAGTGTTGAAGGAGTGAGTTGGGTTTGATAAACTGGTAGACTTTTCTGGCCAGTTTTTTTTTTGGTCAAAAGTTCTGGCCAGTGTTTAAGATGCTTAATTATGAAATTTGTAAAACGATTCTAGCACAAGCTTTTCAGTGTGTGGCTGTAAGACAAGATTACGAAGAATAAGATGTGATTCCAGTAAAATGGCCTTTTGCTGTGAAAAGAGAAAGGTGAAAACATGCTGCACAAAATAACTACGTTTTGTAGTGCATGAGTACTAGCAATGCTTATCAGCAATTTAAACAATATTGATAAGCGCAAGAGGATTTTTGTCTGTGCATCTTCTTGAAACGCTCTATGTGGGGGGCTAGGGTTGGGAAGCTTGGAACCAATTGTACTCTTAAAGCTAAGAAAGGATACATATGATAATTTATGACAAAAAAGGTTTTTACTGAATATTCACAACTTTAGCTCGAATGAATGCTTCATTCTCCAGCCATTAAGCATTTGTATTCATATTAAATTACAGGCATGCAAAGTCTTGCTTTTCCCATTAATCTCTATTGTAGTATGAATTTGTGTTGTGGTGCGTTTCATTATTTTTTCTTTAGGTCCAAGGGCTTCTCTCAGATATTGCTCAACTGGAAAGTACAATCTCAAAACTTGAAAATGAGATGGTATCTTTACATTTCCAACTCAGTCAAGAAAGAAATGAACGGAGACTTGTGGAGTATCGTTTGAGACATTTACCTTCTCAATTAACATTTCTTTGTTCGTCAGAAATTTTGAGTACGCCGGTATGGATTTTTTCTTTGTTATTGTTGTTCAGTGTATCAAAACTCAAAACATATTGCTGCTGCCCATAATAAAGGAGCTGGGTTAGATGTAACTCCGATTGAGCATTTTAAACCGTGTCAGTACCAAAAAAATGTGAGCTGTATGATTCAACTCAATTGGTATCCCAAAAATTTGTGAGTTGTATGATTGAACTGGGGTCAGACACTAAGCTATTTAATTTCTCTTATTTAGGTTAAAAAAACATGTGTTAGTACGCATCTGTAACTATTCTTACATGTGATATCATGCACCATGTGAGAGATTATAGTATAAACTATGAACTTTACTTGACAACTTAAGCTTTTGTTTGTTGCCAAGGTAGCATGTTTAGCTTTTGAGTTCAAGTGATTCTTAACACATACATGCACAAACATGCGTAGGGTTTTATTATATTGTAGAAAGCCAATTGTTGAGCCATTGAACCAAATGTTATCTTTTATTTTTTGTGGCCTGAAGTGGTTGGACTGACCATGAAGTGTAATTTCTGCAATTAATTGATGTTACTATTTCGATAACTTACCTACTTAGTATATGTTTGGAAAAACCAACCCTTATTTCTTAGTTTTAGAGAAAGCATAATGTCAATCCTGATTTTCTGATTTTTTTTATAAATATTTTTTGGTATTTCAATTTCTTATGCATTTCCATGCAACAAGAAGCCTCATCCTATTGAGGACGACTATGTGAACCACACAATGCCATTGTGTTTTATTAACAATGAATTCTCTATTTAACTTGTTGGGGAAAACTGAAACACATTTTCTGTTGACTTTGTTCCATTTCAAGTGAAAATAATCTTAAAAAAAAATGATATGAGACCAATTTGCAGTGCAGTTTTACATAATGAACTAGTGATGAGTTATTTATTGTTATGAGAAAATACCTTGCTAAAATGATTCCTTTTGTCCATAAATCTTCATTGTTTTTGCAGATGTCATATTCTTTAAGGTCTTCAAAGCAATTTGATTGTGAAGGACTTCAGCTTGCTGAAAGGTGCTTTGACCAAGTGCAAAAAGCTCAGTCATCCAAGCATTCTTGTGAAGGAGAAGAGCCAATGATGGAGGTACCATCCATGTTCGACATGATATGAAAAAGTCTAGTTCTTCCTTAAAAGCAGAACATGTTCACCATATAAACATAAGATACTAGTAGTATTCTTCAGTACTATATATGCAATATTGAGAAATAATTAGTTTCTGAGGGTGATATTCTGATCTTATTCTCATTTTCTTGTGTTCTTGGCAGATTTGACTGTCAGTACTCTTTTGTATACATCTGTTGATTAAGAAAATATAATTCAGTTAGAGAAGTAATGATTAGAGAATATAACCAATAATGAATAGGAGGATTGCCTTGAAATGAGTTCATTGATGCATGACATGATCAGTGGATCTGTTAAATACTAAGCTCGGGGTTGTTGGTATGGCAATTAGCTTTCTAATACTTCGTTTCTTATGTTTGATGTATGAGAAGTCCATATTTAATTGCCTGAAATGTTCAGTCTACATATTAAGCTACAAGTGCCGGGTAATGCTATAGTTGATCATTGATCAAGTTTTCTTAACATATAAGGAACAATTCAGGGATGTATTTCTATTTCTCTAGTTAGCATTGTTAAAACTCTTCTTTGTCCTTGGTAATGAACATATTATGAATATCTTTGATTTGCCTCCTAGTCTAATGCACTTATTTTAGTTACACGATTCTCCCCTAATGATCAAGTAAGTTTTACTTGATCCCTATTTTTTAAAGGGTAAAGGTGGAAATATACCTATAAACTTATACCCAATGCATGCCAAAACCATATACTTTTCTTGGGTGCAAATCTTCCTATGCAAGTTCAAAATCAATGCAATAATGGACCACTATTAAAACAACCTAATGATCGTTACTTTTGGTAGTGGGGCCCACAATATTTTTATGAAAATACCAAAATTACCCTAACTTAGAAGAAATGCCCTTTTCTCTCCCAACCTCTTGATTCACTCTGAATAAGAAGCAAAGTCATTCACCTTAATCTATTGCCTCTCCCTTCTCTCCCAACCTCCCTATTCGAACTTGTGCCCCAGCTAGTGAGATCAATATGCCATGGCCAACAAATCCCAAGTTTGATGGTAGACTTTGGCGTGGCGTGAGGGAAGAAGGACAATAAAGCAGCCACGCCTCACACCAATCGAGATTTGAGACGCCAAAATATTGACAATGGCATCAAGATCTAAGACGACAAGCCATTGCCACTTCGATTTTTGCTGGAGGTCAAAGAACATAGTCTACTATCATCGTTATTGTTGCTGCATCCCGACGATCTGAAATCCTAGCAATATAGTGATGACTCTATGTGATGATTTGAAATCCCATGTGTCGTTGCATCCTGCTGATATGAAATCCCAACTGGTTTTGGTTTGGGTTCAGCTTATCTTTGTTAAAGGTTAAATCTTTAATAGTGAAGGGTTTGAGTGGTGGCTTAAGGATCAAGTGGAGACTGAAGCAAGTAGGTGTGGTGGTCAGAGATTGAGGATCAGGGTTGAGGAATAAAAGGTGCTAAGAAGATGGAATTGGAGTGTATTTGCTTTTATCTTTGCCTTCATTAAAGCAATGATTTGTCCACTAGTGCCCCTCTACTATGCGATTTCATGACAATAAATTTGTGGGCAAGCTTTTTATCTTTCAGGTTTCAGCTTTCAACTGGCCCTTCTTTTCTTATATGAAGTAACAAGTCCCCAACAAATTTTTTTTTTAATTTGTAAAATCTGGTTAACGTTCAATGATGATTCTGGTTTGAATTTTTAGTTATGTTGGTGTTGATTGTGACTGTGTTGAGATCTAAATATGGATTTGACTAGGGCTTGAGATGGTTTTGGGTATCTAGAGATGAATCGAGTAGTTGGTGGATGAGTGTGTTTGAGTTGTGGGTGTTTTGGTACTTTTACTAAAATATCATAGGCCCCACCACCAAAAGTAACTGCTTTTAGGTTGTTTAATGCTGATGTCATTTTTGCATTGTCGTTGAACTTGCATAGGTAGATTTGCATCTAAGAAAAATATATGGTGTTTGGCGCACATTGGACATAAGTTTATGGGTAGATTTGCACCATTACTCTTGTTTAAAATATTATTCATGACTCTTCTTACATTTGATATATATTTCCAAAACCTCTTCTTTTTGTTGATGAAATTAACCTTCTTTTTTTTTCCCCTAGAGTAATAGGCATTTTTTTGAAAAATAAAATTACATGACCCTTCATAGAAGCTTGCAATTTATGCTATTATTCTGTATCTTTGTTGGCAGATAAACACTTTTACTTTTCAGGTTTCTTTCCCATCCATAGAATTTTTGGGACAGGATATGATTGTCTCTTTGGCTTTCATTGGTACTCTCTCTAGTGGTCTATTTTTGGAAGTTTTTCTTTCAAATATGTGGCAGCATTTAAAATCATCATTGTCAATTCCCATTTATGCATTCTATTCTCCTTAATTTTGTTTTTTGTTTCTTCTTTTTGACTCTAATTTCTTTTTGAGGAAAGCATGATGAAATATATCCTAGTGATTTTATTCATGTTATCTATGTGCACGCAATAATATTCCTGAGACCTATCTCACTAATACTTGTTATTTTTTTATTTATCAGCTCTGTGTTATTAAATTTGGCTGTAAAGTGCCAACATTAGCTGTCTGATAGAAATGGGGCTTAAGCCCAAAGGTAGACTAGGAATGCAGAACAGGTGGGATAAGGGTATTCTTGGTATTATGGTTTGACGGTTAGAGTAGAGAAGGCTATATAACGTGAGAGGTGGCTATAGAGGTATGGAATTTGTGATGAGTGAACTGGGAGGAGAGTTTTTGTGCCTCTCAAATGCATAGTGTGGTTCTGTTCTTTCTTACCTTGTAGACCTCGATATATATATATATATATATATATATATATAGGTTCTGTGTTCTATTAAAGGTGTCAGAGCCCTTCTTTCTTGGAAATGATCGGCAAAAAAGTGGAAAGCAAATTGGATGGACTCAAGTCTCGTTTGGTGCAAATGGAGCAGAATGTCGAATGCTTGACTAAGGATACTGTGACGATCATTTGCGATGTGGCTACCACGAAGTCATTGACAACTAAATTGGTTAATGAATTTCGAGCTCGTCAGTGTTCGATGGGGAAGGAAAAGCAACATGCGGCCTCCTCAGCTGCAAAGATTGTTCCTTAGGTAATCAAAATTGGACTGGTAGAGAAAATTTTAAAGCCTCTAATTATCAAAAGCTTGATCTGCCTCTGTTTCCTGGTGATGAACCTCTTGGTTAGATCCTCAAGGTGGAGCGCTACTTTAAGCTCAACAAAGTCATGAAAATGACAAGCTTGATGTTGTTGTGCTCTGTATTGAGGGACGTGTGCTTAATTGGTTCCAATGGAAAGAACTTAAATATGATTTAATTCTTTTTTTTATTTTTTATTGTCACATCTTGGGAGTTTATGCGAGATGTTAATGGCTCTTCGACATCATCAAAGTGTTGCCGAATATATTGAACACTTCAAATTACTCTTGGCAACTTTGGAAACCTATGATGAAGAGTTGCTCATCGTCGCCTTCAGGAATGGCCTGTCAATGGGGAGATCAAGGCCAACCTATGTTTGCTCCGTCTATGTACACTCTCGGAATACATGGATATGGTGCTTCAAATTGAGGAGCGCAACTGGGTCTTAGTCCATTGTCTAGTGCCCCATGATATTGGGTCGGATTGGGTCTGGTTTGAAGACAAGGAAACGGGTAGTCAAGTCTATCCTACTCGATTTCACTCTCAATCAGACTTGTCCAAAACCACTCTAACGCCTGTGTCTTCTTTGTTCTTGACTAAGCTGCCAGCCTTGACTACAACAATCGATGCAATGAAGGTCACCATTCTAGTCACTTATTCAGGCAAAGCCAACTCTAAGAGGCTTATTGATGCTGAAATCGACTAACCGTCATGATGCAAGAACAAACAATTGCAGGTATTGATTCTTTCAGAAAACCCACCAATGAGGGAGAGGGGCATCGTGAACCAAGATAACCAATGAACACTTCCAGAATTGGCGCCTTATTCAGCTATGGCATCCTCCTCTTGACCTTGAGGACAGGTCAATCTCGGGGGGGTAATGTTGGAAAGGGGCCTTAAGCCCAAAGATAGAATAGGAATGCAGAACAGGTGGGATAAGGGTATTCTTGGTATTATGGTTTGACAGTTAGAGTAGAGAAGGTTATATAACGTGAGAGGTGGGTGTAGAAAGGCATGGAAATTGAGATGAGTGAATTGTGAGTAGAGTTTCTATGCCTCTTGAATGCACAGTGTGGTTCTGTTCTTTCGTAGCTTGTAGACCTCCATTAGATGTACACTCTGTGGAGGAGCATTTTCCATTGAATCATACATATATCCAGCTTATGTGTTCCATTACTGTCCTGATAACATTTTTGTTTCTTTGCTTCTCAATTTTGCCCCGTGCTTTTTTTCTGTTTATACCTTCAAGCCTCTAGATTCTGAGTTATCTTATTTTCCTCTGATGGAGTTGGAGTCTTATTTTGTGAATTAATTAGTCTACATGTACAAGCAAATGAGGTAGTGCTGTTGAAGCAATTGGAGCTTTTATAATATGGCCCAACTTGACTTCAGCTTCTGATGGTTGTCTTGACATGTTCTGTTTTGCATCAGAATGCAGTGCGCTCAGTTTTGTTTTGCTGTGAAAAAAATGAATCTACAAAGATAGATGGCAAATATTGTCAGCCTGCAGATTTCAGGAAGCTTCCTAAAGGGATGCCACCAAAGGAACTTTGGAATTGGCCTAATTTGTTATCAGAAGAAATGGTCAGATGTATGAAAAACATATATATCTCTCTTTCAGATTCTGGTATATCTATGAAGTCATTTATAGAAGACAGTCAGTACTCAACTCAGTCACCATGCGAACATCTTCCTAATTCATTGAGGTGGTCATCATCTGAGCACTCAACATCCTCATCATGGGTGCAGAGCCCACTAGTTGATGTAAAGGATTGTGATGTATTGGCTTCTGGGAATGCCTGTGATCCCTATCATGTTCGTGGTAAATTGAGTTGGGCTGATATTGGAAGTTATGGATCAGCAATTGAAGTATCTTGGATGTCAGTGGGAAAAAAGCAATTAGAGTATGCTGCTGGGGCACTCCGGAGGTTTAGGTAAATTTTTTTGTCATTTTTTTTAATAAATATCTTTTGCAGATTGAGATCAATCCCATTATTTTTGTCTGATTTATATTTGTTTCCTTTTTTTTTTTTTTTGGTTTTTTGGGTCCTTGGTATTTTGGGAATTTACTAGGTTTCCTTATTTGTTATTTGATTGATCTTTTATCTATACCCTGTTATTGTTGAGTGAAAGGGTTATGGGTTCAGATTCATTTCCCTTGTATTCAGAGCCAAGTTCCAAACCAAAGAAATTTCCATGGTAGATGAAAGTATGAAATCAACCATTCCCTCCTTTGTCAGCTCCTGTTTTTAGTGGTCCTGGTGCTTTACAGACCACCCAACACAGATTAAATATCAATAATTTCAGGGACGGTCACAATCAGTCCTGCTGGTTTTAAAAGGAAAAAGGGCGAAATTGATCATCTCAATGGTGCAAAAGCAAAACCAAATGAGCTTGTTTTTTTTCTATGTGGGTGGCTGAAATTGCTTGGCTATGGCTTGGTTGACAACTCCACTGACCATTGCTTATTTTGGACATGACTCTTTCTTTTAAGTGCCTGTGCTTCATGGTCAAGGTTCACATGAAATTTGCATTGGGCACGGCAGCATGAGATTGGCTCTTCTTGCAAAAGATATACATGTTCTTCCATAATTTTTTTTTTTTTGTTTAAAGCAGATTTGAATTTGCAAGATTTGGATGGAGCTTGATTTGCTGATAGCTATGAAATTTGACCTCGTCTTCCTGAGTTTTGAACTTTGGGCATAAATTTGGAAGAAAAATTCAAACTAAATTCTGTTTGAAATTTGTACTTTCTTGCCTGATCCCTGATTTTTAAGAAATTTGAATAAATGAAGTTAAACCTGATCTTGTCTTGTTGAATTTTTTACTTTGGGTATCAATTTGAAAGAAAAGTTGAAACTGAAGTTCAAGAAAAGTTCATGTGGTTTGAATTTTGTTGTTGAGAACAGATTGCTCGTTGAACAATTGGCCAAAGCAAATCCCATCCATTTGACCTCCAGTGAGAAACTTGCCTTCTGGATCAATCTGTATAACGCATTGATCATGCATGTGGGTGCCCTTATATCTTTTATCAATTAATATTACGGCTTGATGCATGTTTTCAGAAATATATTATAGCTTTTATGTCTCTTCATTATAGCAGGCTTATTTGGCTTATGGAGTCCCAAGAAGTGACTTAAAACTCTTTTCTTTGTTGCAAAAGGTTTGATTTCTTATCTTATTCCATTCATTCTTTCCCTCTTTTTCTTGCTAGTGTTTTTCTTAATTTTGGATTCTTCAAGGGAAAGGGATGATATAGAGATTGTGTGTAATGTGTATTCTTGTTGTTCTAATCGTACTCCAGTTAATTATGTTGTTCTATTATGGCGAATGATTTTCTCCTGATGATGTGGACTTGAAAATCAGAATTATATTTGTTTGTTCGCATAAGCTTCTTGAGAACCCCTCACTTAGGCCAGATCATTCATTTCCTATGGTTTAATACTTCATGGAAAATTTCCTTTCGAATGCCAAGTTTACTTGTTTGGAGACACTAAATACTGGAATTTTAAGATTTCTGTAGCCATGATGAATTAAACATGCTTTTATATATTGGGATCTGCATATTTTTCTATGCATATCATACATTTGTAAATAATATGCATCACTTTGCCCTAGCATAATTGGTAGCATCTCAAGGCTCAAGCTATACCATGGGTCAAAAGTCATTATAGCGTAAAGTTTTAACCACCTCTCTTTCGTCTGGTTTATATACAGGCTGCATATACTGTGGGGGGTCATTCTTTCAGTGCAGCTGCAATTGAGTATGTGATTCTGAAGATGAAGCCGCCACTTCATAGGCCTCAGATAGTATGTATTTTGGCATCCCTGTTGTAAAAAAGTCCCGGCATCATTCCATGACTCAGTTTCTGTCAATTGTGTTATTAGGCATTGCTTCTTGCCGTTCAAAAGTTCAAAGTGTCAGAGGAGCAAAGGAAGTTTGCAATTGGTAACCACGAGCCTCTAGTGGCTTTTGCTCTCAGCTGCGGAATGTATTCTTCACCTGCGGTAATCCTACTGCTTAATTAGATTCAGATATACTGTCAAAATTAGCTGAATGATTAAATTCTATTCCATCGGACACTCATTTTCCTACCATGATATGAGAGGCTTGTGTTAAGTGGATATAATATATTTAACTTGTATTTGTCCTAGTTGTTGCATGATCAATTGAAAAATGAGATAAAAGAAAATGGTGAGACTCACTTGACATGTAGGTCTTGCCACTAAACCTCTCTTCAATGGATCATCCCACAGCAGTAAAAGATATACAATTCCATTTAGACGGGCGTATAACTGTGTGTGTGATGTTTGTGTAATATGTAAATGCAGGTCAGGATTTATACAGCTAAAAACGTGAGGGAAGAGCTTGAAGATGCACAGCGTGATTACATTCGTGCAGCCGTGGGAGTAAGCAGCAAGGGGAGATTGTTAGTGCCCAAAATGCTTCACTGCTTTGCCAAAAGTTTTGCGGATGATGCAAGTTTGGCAGTGTGGATATCCCATTATCTTCCTCCTTCACAAGCTGCCTTTGTGGAGCAATGCATGTCCCAGAGGCGCCAGAGCTTCCTCGGTTCACGCAACTGTGCCATACTTTCCTTTGATTCCCGTTTCCGCTATTTATTCCTCCCTGATACAGTCCCCTCCTCCACCACTCCTTGAAAGCTGAACTGAAACTACGTCACTTTGGATCAGCCAAGGACGTTTCATTTCAGAGATGGCCAGCTGGAGGCCTTTTTTTTGTTAACCCCCATCACAATGCAAAACCATGATCTTGTGAGGTTGGAATTTGAGCATGTATAGATAAAACAGGGAAAAAAAGGGTTTTTGTTTTGTTTCATGTGTTGGGGGGGGGGGGGGTTGGTTCGGCGGGGGAGTAAATCCTGCTCCCATTCACATGGAGGTTCCTGAGGGCGGGGCTTATTTATTTGAGCAAGATCCTAGTGGATCTCTTTAGTTCTTTGACGAATAAGATCCCTGGATCTGATATGAAATATTAGAATGCAGCACCTAGTGCATATTTTGCCCTTTACCCTTACGGTCATCACATCTCATGTGTTACTAATCCATGCATCATGCCTTTGGTTCCATTCGGGGTGCCATTAAATTAATTCTGAATCTCTGTTTTTTTGGGGCATTAAATTAGCTATGTCTTGAGCTCCGATCATATGCCGCTGATTTATTTCATTTTTTAAACTCGCATGGATAACAACTACAAAGTTTGCCAGAAGAAATACTGCCTCCGGTCCTTAATATAAGATTTTGTTTGACTTTTATTTTAGTCTTAAATATAAGATCCTAATATATTTTGTCTCTCATATTTATATAAATTTTTTCTAAAGTAGCCCTTCTAACAATGATAGTTTTAGTTAATACACTTTATTAGCAAGGATATTTTAGGAAAGATAATACCTATTTAGAATAAATAACTAACTCAATTTACTTTTTTAATCTTTTCAAATTAGTCAATTGGCTCTATAATTAGGACCGGAGGCAGTACATTATTTATTAGTTAACCTTACTCGAAGACGCAATTCTTAACCTTAATTCATTCCTAAGATGATAAATAGTTTCTAAAGTCCTAAGAAAATTAAAAACGGATGTTAAAATACTACTCTTTCAGGCCTAGCAAAATTATTACTCTAGTTGGGCCATGTTTCGAGTTTGCCTTATGATGCGGAACCTTTTTATAAGGTGTCTTTTTTTTTTTTGTGGGTGTTGACAACCATTTGATGCTATTGACTGACTGGGATTTAGCATTATTGGTTTCTCTATTTTATTGACTCAGTGCTTGTTTGGGATTACAATCAGACAACTCAAAAGCATTCATTTGCATAATTCAAAACAAAATTCTCAAGTCTTATCATATACTTTGTAAATTATGATTGGAAAACTGCTTTTGAAAAATCTTATCATCATTTCAAACAAACACTCAGAAAGCTTCAACTAAATAGTGTTTACGGGCACCAAATCCCTTCATCTCAATTGTTGGTGGCTTTCTCAAATTTTCACGTGCTCATTTTGTTTATACTAGTCATTTATAAGAAATTGATCATCCGTTCCAAAAATCATTTTGCAGAAAAAGAGAGATTATTACTTACATTTTTTTAAAATTTTACGTCACAATTTTTCAGTAGGTTGTGAGGTTATATATAACTATAAGAATGCTTTTAAAGAGGATGCATTTGATAAGGATAAATTGGGAACTTTTTCTTCCTTTTCAAACAATATCAATGACTTAGCTACATTTTTTTGGGTGTGAGTTAGAAGATATATATATATAGAGAGAGAGAGAGAGAGAGAGAGAGATAGAATGGCCAATGACTTTGTAGCCTAATAGCATAATGTTTCCCTATAAGGAGAAATCAAATATATTCAATCCTGCTTATAACTGAGGTCATTAGTGCTTGCCCTTTAAATTTTAAAAAGTAAATAGGACGGAAAGAATGGAGTATATACATCAAACATAAGAATCTGATTCTGAAAGATATTTTTTTTTGAGATTCATGAATGTTCCATTTAACATTTATTGTTTTAGATCTCAAATTACGCCATCAGCAATCAGATTTCGTCAACTTATAAAGGTCATATTAAGTGCATTTAATTGAGATGCATTAACATTCATAACATTAAATTTAGGCGGTTGGGAAGAAACTTGACTCGCTCTATTTAAGGTGAGTTTTACTCAAAAACCTTTTAGTGTGAGTTTCACCTCTTAGAAGAACCCTAATTCACCACATCGAGATTTTGAGAGGAGGATTTCACTAAAAAAATCAAGCAGTGTGAGCGTCGCCTTTCATGAAAAAAGCATTGATTCACCATATTCAAACTCATAACTAGGGTTTGAGCTTTGCAATTTTGGAGATAATCCTTATTCGTGCTTGGTATAGTTCTCTTTAACAAGTGTTTTTTTTCTTAAAAATTTTTTTGGTCCTTTTTCTTATTGAAAAAAGTCATGCAAATGGTTTTAATGTGATGTTCTAACTAAATAAACATTTTGTGCCATCTTCACTAGTTCGGAAAACCCTAATTCTTCGCAATTGAGACACCAGCTAAGAATCGAATTATCGAGATCATTCATGTCGACGACTCCAGGTATTATGTAATTTTCTTTATTTGTTTTTCCATGCGGCACATATTCTTTCAATTGTTCTATTTGGTAGTTGTTGATTATTTTATAATAATAAACTTTAGTAAGAGGCTTATAAAAAAATTTAGTGTGAGGGTTTTATGATTGGTTTCAACTTTTGGCTGGTGAGCAAGCTAATACGTGGAAGGAGTAAGCTACTCTTTGGTTGTTGGCTTTTGTGTTGTACCCTTGGACTTCGGGTTTTTTTCCCCTTGTTTGAAATGGTTAGCATGTTGTTCTGTGCACACCATGGGAGCGATCTCAGGGGTCTAACAAGTTCTCATGGGGAAACAGGTCAATAACTAGATTTCTTAATATGAATTGTTGCTTTATTTGGTTACTAAGAAGGTTGAGTAAAGAAAGAAAATGTGTGGGTTGTTAGCAATTTCTGATGCTGGGTATTCTTTTGAAATGGGAGAGTTTAATATCCATAATGACCTTTTTATTTGTAAAATTTAGCTCTTCATTTATTGGTCATTGAGTATTTGAAATATTCATGCAAAATAATAATGCTTCTTTAACCATCTTTCATTTTCATGCTCTCTTACAACCACTACAAGGGAATATCAACTCACAATTATCCATTATAATCTGTGTGTTTGGTAGTTTTGAGAGGATATGATCAAAACAAACAACTATGGAACCTATGTGAAAGGCTCATGGTTGATATCCCCCGAGAGGGAGAAAGGGTGGTTTATTTTCTGCAGGGACATATTGAAGAGGTAATCTTTACTCTCTGCATCATTGTTGTCATTTTTCAAAGTCATAGTTGCTTTCGAATTTCACCAAGATATCTTTCTCTCCCATGTCACTTACATAAGAATTTTTTCATTTCTAATTTTGCAGCTGAATTTTTCTACAAAGCAGGAGTGCCACCATGGAATTGCTCATCCTAATCTTCCTTCTCAGATTCTATGCAGAGTTATAAATATTCAGCCTTTGGTACTGAGGATGTTTTGTTGCTATTCTCCTTTCATCTTATTTATAAAATATCTTGTTCATTATGCGTATTTATCATGAAATTACTTATTTTGTAGGTTGAACCAAATACTGCTGAAATTTACTTTGGCTTCACTCTGATTCCTGACACAGAAGTGAGAATTTTTTTATGCCTTCTATTTTTCCTACTTCAAGTCTATTCAATATGTTAGGTTAACGAGAAAATGAGGGATCTAAATAGAATTTCTCTATAGCCTATTGGCATACATAGAACTTTAAGTTGCTTATTCTTTTTAAATATGTCCTTATAACTAAAAGGTGCATTTTACGGGTTTATTCAGTCTGATCCAACAGTTCCAGATCCAATCCCACCTGAAACACAGAAACATGAAATTCACTCAATTTGGAAAATGGTAATGGCCTCTATTACCAGCACACATGGAGTTCCAACTTTCCAACAGAGTCCTATTCCTTCATCTGGGATGCCAAACCAGAATATGCATCTAGCAGTACTTGCGACTGCATCACATGCAGTCATGACTGGCACTATGTTTACAGTTTATTACAAACAAAGGTTAGGTTTGTGCACACCTTGATTTGTGCTATGCCAATCATTAGCATATATAACATAACATTTTGGTTACTATATCATTCAGGGCTAGCCAGTTTGTGATTCGTTTGAACAAATATTTGGAGGCAGTGAACAATAACGTTCATGTTGGCATGAGGTTCAAGATGAGATTTCAGAGAGAGGACTCGCTTGAGACAAGGTTGGCATATCCTTGCAAGTTGTGATAATGGTTAAAGGGTGTCATGTTTCATTTAGTATTTGTGTTTTAATGTTGCATGGTTTTTTTTTGGTCAGTTTCTTCGGCACTATTATTGGTATTGGGGATTTCTCCCCATATTGGCCCGAATCCAAGTGGAGGATGTTGAAGGTCTGACATTGTTCTCAATTACATGTCTAATGTTTCTTCTATGACTTGCATCATCTTCATTTTAAACATACACGATGTCTTCCTACATTAGGTCAAGTGGGAGGAACCGTCAATGGTTCCAAGGCCAGGGAGAGTTTCTCCCTGGGAGATTCAGCCTTGCATGGCTTCTGTTGTTGGAAGTGCTTCTGGTCTTGTAGCAGTTAAAAGCAAAAGATTTAAGCCTATTTGCATTCCATTTTCTGGTAAGAAAGACTTCAATCGATGTCACCTCTAATAATTTTATAATTCTATTTGTTGAGTTAACACCAACATGATTATGAATTTAATTTTGTGCAGCTTCTGCATTAGTGAACTCAAATAAGAGCTCAAGAATGCGTGTGGATGGAATACAACGAACTTCTCCATTTCTGAATGATTCTTCAAGTTTTCTTTCTGAACCTGGAAAGGACAAAGCTGGTTTGAATGATTCTTCAAGTTTTTTATCTGAACCTGAAAAGGACAAAGCCAGTACATCAGCAGCAGCAAGCTTTTGTAACTGGATTTGCTGCTGTTTCAAGTAGGCTTTACTAAGTTCTTCTGCTGCCAATTCAACGGCAAACTGGAAGGATGAGGGCCCTTCTATGGACTTGGTAGTCTCTCTTGCAATCATAAAGGCTGGATTTACTCATGGCTCAACAAACTTGTTTATTATGTTAAGTACCTTTTTTTTAAAAAAAAAAAAAATTATGTCATTATTCTAGAACTGCAGACTTATGATGTTAATGGGTACTGTATGCTTAAGGAAGGTGTAATCAATTGCTTTACTATGTTGTGAAGTGGTTCTCCTATGCACTGCACCAACCATTTTAAACCTTCTGCGTAAATAAAGTTAATTTTGCTATACTTTCATGATGTCTACCTCCTAAAGTCTTCAACAAATTGATGCCAAAGTTGTATGTATTGGGATGAGTGCTTTGAGCAACAATTTTTTTCTTTTGTTTTTTTTCTTTCCATAGAGTTTGAGACCATTATTCCAAATCCATATATGTGGAGTTATATAAGCAGGGATTAACATTGATATTGGAGTATATCAAGATGGATCAAAGTTTTGTTCTGGAGGTTTTTGCGTAGGAACTATGGATATCTAAAAGTTTTGTTGGATCATATTGCTTGAAAGTGTTGAAAAAGGAGCAATATCACCCGTCACCATTAACAATATAAATGGTCAATGTTAATTTTTGAATATTCAACATTAGTTTTTAAACAGTTTGGGCAATTTTGCTTATTTTTTTAAATACTTTTGAGGTGATATTTGTTCAACAAAACTTTTGAATACTCAACAACTTATGTGCGAGAACTTCTGGGATAAAATCAAACCTTAATCCTATCAAAATTGATCATCTGAGCTAAAGTGTGCTATACAATGACCTTGAAAGCACCAAACACAAGACAAGGGAGGAAGGAAATGGAAAAGAAGACAAAAAAGAAATGCCAATCTTGATATCGGAACAGATTAGATAAAGTTGTCATTGGTAATCAAATGCCTTAAAACTACATCCACAAACACAACACTTTCTAACCAGTAATCACCTTCCACTAAACATTCCTTTAAGATTTATTAATAATTGAGATATCAAGAAATGACATTCCGAGACTTGTGAAAGACCTTTCATCTTTTACCACTTTAATTTGGACCCACTGCAAACGTTATGTGACCTTACTGGGTCACACGCAAGAATGAGTCACCGTTAATTAGAACATTAAATTCATTTAGTCTAGAAGTCATACAGGTTCCATGAACATAAAAATATTTTCATTCAATGCATCAACAAAGTTTTTTATCTTGGAAATGTAATAAATTAGAGAAACTCCTGTTTGACTAGGATATTATAAAGAATTTTATGTTGTTGTTGTTGGAATGTTTTTTTCCAATAAAAATATAAAAAGAAAAAATGACATAAAAAAAGAATTTGAAAATTACTATTAAGTTTGTTTTTTGTATTTTAACAAGTTTTGACTACGCTAAAAGTAACAATACCTGGCTGTAGAAATTTCTCATTCTGGGATTATGCGATTTCTGACTTCTGAGGTTTTTTTTAAAAATATTTTCCCAAGATAAAATAAGGAACATTTTTCACAGAAACTGAAGCATGACAAACCATATTTAATTTTTAAATAGCTGGTGCTATCAACCGAAAAACAAAAACAAAATTCAAGGTCCATCGTCACCATCACCTATCAAATTGCATATATCTGTACACTCCACCAGGCTGCACAGTGAGCAAAGTATAATTAGATGAATCAATGTAAGAGTTATCTTATAATCTTATGATTAATTACAAATAGTTGATATCTAATCATCCTTCCATCTTATAAATATGGATGGTCCAGTTTTACCATCTTATAAATATGCAAAGTCATAATAAATAAAACTTTTATAATTTTCTTTTCACTATAGAATTAATATATCTAGGAAAAATGACAACCAAATCCCTCACCTAAAAATTAAAGACGCAAGTTTCTTACATTTGTAAAATGATACAAGTCTCAAGATCCTACTCAATTTTTGCATATGATGTGAGGTTGAATTATAAATTCCATATTATTAGTTGTGAATCAAATTCAAATTATACCATAAAAATGGGTTTTTGTATGATTTACAACTCATTTTATATAATTTATATTTAAGTTATTCAGAATTTACAACTTATCGTTTAAAAATTTACAACTGTGTTGTAAATTAAATAAATGCATTTTCGTTCAATAGACTTCTTTTCCCCCACCTTGGACCATACGTATTAGCATTGCTAATTTGAGGGTCTGTATATATTAATAGTAAACTTAGTCTTTACAAGGCTGGCCAAAAAATCTTGGTCTTTACAGGTAACGAAGAATAATATGACCTATTTCTCAAATTTTGTATAATGCACGAGAATATATTTAGCTGAGGATAAAAATTTGTTTGACTCAACAATAAAAGTCTAAAATATTTTCCGTTTTGGGAAGATGATCCAGGTTCAATTCATAATTAATAATTAAGCAAGCCATATTTTACTTTGTAATTTGCCAAGCTTAAAGGACACATCTGGCATTTTTAAATTAGATAATGGAATCCTCTACAATCATGTTTATTTGTTCTTGTCCAATACTATTTTTATCATTAACTTAATGACTACTATTCTTAGGAGACAAAAAGATCTCTGTTCAAATATAAAAGGAGCAAGTTGGTACGAAAAACATAATGAAGTCGTCAATAATTTTTCAAGGAACGTTGAGTGAACATCATAACTTAACCACCTATCTTTGTGCAAAAATACCAAAAAGCCCTTTGATTGATACGATCAATTTAATCGCAACGTTCTAATTACTCCCTATTGTTTTAAACATATAAGAGCTAATAAAAGAAGGTTTTATTTTAATCCTAAATATAAAATCTTAATTCACTTTATCTTTCAAATTTTATAATATTTTTGCTAAATTCTCCAATTGATTGCATGTATTAAGGAAGTTTTGCACTAAATGAGTAGTTTTTAATGTAATTGATTAAGAAAAGATATTTTTTAAAAATTAATACAGATTTTTTGCAAATAACAAACTTAATTAATTTCTAACATGTGTATTAATTATTTAGCTCTTATATTTTAAACTGCAGGATTACCTAATAATACTGGACATTGTGTCAATGAAAATAAATTAAATGGCAACAGTTGAAGCGATTACCAGTATTGACGAGTTCGAAACCCTTGCTTGAAAACAACCAGAGGTCTGAAAAATTCAGAAAATAACTGAGACCTTGATCTTCTCAATAGCAGTAATAACAGTAGTAGTAATAATAATAATAATATTTCAGTTTTACTTCATACAAATTGCTACCCTTTATACCCGGCATTTTCCATCTTAACTGGAGAAAACTTTATACATTACTACCTCCAATTCTCAATATAAGAGCTTGTTTAACTTCTATTTTGATCCTAAATATAAAATTCCAATCCACTTTGTTTATCATATTAATCTATTTTTTTTCCCAAACTAGTCGTTATAATAATAATAATAATTCTAACCAATACATTTAATTAGTAAGATTATTTTAAAAAAGACAACATCTATTTATTACAAATAACTAACTTAACTAATTTTTTTTAATCTATTCAAATTAGTTAACTAACTCTTATATTAAAGACAAGAAGTAACACATATATGTAATGAAAATTCTACTTAATTTAAGTAAAGCAAAATTATATGTTTGACCAATGCTTTCAAATTTAAATAACATATTATGGGAATTTCTAAAGTTGATAATATGTGTTAAACCTATAAATAACATGTTCATATTGGCTAAAAGCCAACTCACTCACCTAGAATAAGGGCTTTCGGCCCCACTGCCAAGCTTACAACCCACATTTATTTGTTATTTTTAATCTTTTTAATTATTATAATTATATTATTATATGTCATATCTCATTTAAAAAAATTTTAAAAAATTGCATATAGGACTTATTTATTGTTTTTAATAAAGTATTCCAAGAAAAATTAAGGATTTTATTATATTTTTTGGGTTGATATAATCTTGTCACTGGAATTTGGATCCATTTTGTTTCTAGTTGTAGTCCTTAAAATTTAATTCGTTTAAAATATTAGTTCTTGAAGGTTTAACAGTATTAAAATATGTTGAAATATCATAAGTGACGTTAAAATGATAATATGGACTCAGCAGATAACACCTGATTGATTTTCATGTGGATAATAGGAAAAAAAGAATAGGTTATCAAAACGCAATATAGAGAACAATTCTCAAAACACAATGCAATGGATAATTTCTCAAACAAACAATAAAGAAAAAAGTGGCCTAAACAACTGTGCTTTAAAGAATTGTTCCTTCTTCCTCTATATTATCTATATAAGATCTAGCTTAGTGCCATTTGGTGATTCCACTTTAATGCCATCTGTGATACTTTCGTAGATTTTAACATTGTCATACTTTTAGATAGTAACATTTCTCAGGACTAAAATTATAAGTTTGAAATTTGAAGGAAAAACAAGCCCAAATTTTAAAGACAAAAAATTATATTAACCTTATTAAAAAAAAATAGTATATTGCATAAGAAAAAAATGCAAAAACAAAAGTAAATAAATGTGACGGGTAGCGGGCCTTTTTGACCCGTATCGATTGAACTCGGATGGCGTTACCAGTCCTAGGGCTTTCGATTGAGGAGTAGGTCCAAGAAGATGATTTTAAAACTAAATTATACAAAGCCTCCGAACTTTATATATGTAACCTTTCTAAACTTCTGAAACCTTACAATAGACCTCCCACAATACAAAAACCTCCATAGACCTCCCAAAATTAAAAAACTCCGCTCTATGAGTTTTGTTAATTAAATAACAATGGTTTAAAGTTTAAGGAGCTTGTATGTATAATTGTATATAATTTAAAATGTGATGGAATTATGTGCATACAAAAATAAAATTTAAGAGAGTATAAAGTTAATAGTTTGGGGTCGTGCATAGACTTGAAAGTTTAGGAGGGCTTATTGTAAAATTTTAAAGGTTAATGAGGTTATTTATATATGACATGAAGTTTAGAGAATTTTTATATGATTTAGCCAATAATTAAAGGTAGTGTTTTATGAAAACCAATACACATAACTAACTAAATTAATATATTGAACCTCTACAAGCCGTTTATCTGGTTCTCACGTTAGAAAAGGGAGTATGAAAGTCACAAATTTTGCACATATATCTGCATCAATTTGAGTGGCTGGAGGAAATATGACATGCCTCCGAAGCCTTAAGTACTCTAAATACTTCGCAAAACAAAATAGTGATTAACATCTTGATAAGCAGCACAATAGTTATCATGCTTCCCCTGTTTTATCCTCTAAACACCAAATAGGCCTGAGCCTATTACAGAAACTTAAAACCCTATTTAAAACGTAGGACCTTAATTAAATTGACTAAAATATATAGACTTCCAGTTACATTATAACTTCTCAAGTCTATTTAAAAGCCTACATTAAATCACTTCTCAAGTCTATTTAAAAGCCTGCATTAAATCAGGAAGATGAATTTTTCTAAAACCAACTAATCACAATAAGTGACATTACATGTTTTACCTCTTCCTTTTTCAATTAAAACTAAGATGGCAAACTCCTACTACTATGATTATAATATTATTTAGATTTAAGATGTAAATTTGTCCTGCAAGTTTTTATTTAGAAGTGTCAAGTACTTGAAAGTTTTTTAGGTTCAAATTTGCCTCCTATCATTAAAAAAACTAATGTTAACAGTTAAAATAATGACATTGACTTCCGAAGGGGTGGGGTCCCATCTGTGCCTAATAATTTTTAATGGTAAGAGACAAAATTGCTATGATTCTAAATTTTCGGCAGCAAGTTTGCATCCAAAAAACTTTTGAGTGCTTAGTGCTATGAATAAAAACTTTCAAGCCAAATTTACACCTTATTCCTATTATTTAATTTGGGTATCACTAAAACAAATTTACAACAATTATCATGTTTTAGTCAACAAGGCAAATTAGGCAAGAGGGAGTGAGCTAGTATTACCATCTCAAGTGGTCACAGAGAAAAGAGTGAAAGGTGAATAACTGATAAATGAAAGTGTTAGAATTTTGGTGTTATAAAACTTAGGGTTAAGGCTAAGTTAGCAGTTTTATATATAATTTATAAAATTAATTTACATTATGCATAACAATGTAAATTAAAAAACAAACGCCAACAAGGTCAAGCCTGTAATCTTTTAAGCTAGGCCTAATGAAAATATGCTTGGGCCTAACTAGGCAAGGCAAGAGGCTTGAACTTGAGTTTGGCGCTAGGCTCAAAGTAGGCTATGCTATAGACCTTTGATAAGGGTTTAACACACTTTCACCCCTATTTATGTATAAGTCACTTTCTATATATATATATATATATATATATATATATATATATATATATATATATATATAAAGGGAAGTTTAATATAATTTTTAGTTTATGAAATTTGAACACATTTTTGTTTTGGTTCCTCAAATTTCAAGCTCAGGGTTTAGTCCTTAAAATTTAATGTCTTAAAACATTAGTTTCTAAAAGTGTAATGGTATTAAAATTTGCTAAAACGTCATCAATAACATTAAAAGTGGTGATTTGGACTCACCAAATGACATCTAATTGGATCTTATGTGAATAACATACTGCAATGTAGGAATAGCTCTTGAAACAAACATCGAGGAAGAAAAAATGAGGGACTAGATATCTGCATTGTGAGAACTTGTTTTTTTCCTACCTTTTTGTTATCCACAAAAGATCCAACTATGTGCCATTAGATGAGTCCATATCACTGACTTCAACACTATTTATGACTTTTTAGTAAATTTTATCACCATACATTTTAAAACGGACTAAATTTCAGGAACTAAAACCATGAATTTAAAATTTGAGGGATTAAAACTAAAATAGACATAAATTCCAAGAACCAAAAAATTATATTAATCCTAAAGAAATTGGTAATTCATTTTATAAATTGTTTTGTATGAAAAGATGAATTATTAATTACATTTTTTTTAATTTTACCATTTTACAATTTTATGAGTAGGGTCTGAGGTTGCAATTGCATCATGAATAATCAGATTTCGCTAGCTGACAAAATGCATACTAGTTGTGTTTAATTAAGATGTACTAACATTTACAGTATTAAATTTGGACAGTTGAGAAACAACTTGACTCGCCCTATTTGAGAAATCTAAACCTTTGAGTATGAGCTTCACCTTTCAAAATACCCCAATTCACCAAATTTAATATCCTATAAAAAGATTTGACTCAAAAACTAATCAGCTTGAGAGTCACCTTTCATAAAGAACGACACTAATTCATCATATTCAAGCTTGTAACAAGGGTTTGAATTTTGCTATTTTGGAGATAATCCTAGTTTAAGCATGGGCACCGGGAACTTTTAAAGGGGCAATATCAATGATTTAATTACCTTTCTTTGATTCTGATGAGATAATTAGAAGATGCTTATATAAGTCCGGAGGGAGCATATACCAAACATAGAAAAAACTACTTTTAGGATTTTTTTTTTTATAGATTTATAAATGTCCAATTTAAAATTTACTGTTTCAATCTTTCAAATCTCAAATTACATCTTGAGCAATCTGACTCCGCTAACTTACAAAATTTATAGTAGATGCGTTTGATTAAGATGCATTAATATTTACAACATTAAGTTTAAACGGTTAAGGAGAAACTTGACTCACCGACCCTAAACCTTTCAGTGTGAGCTTCAACTTTCAAGAAAACCCTTATTCACCATGTAAGGAAGATTTCACTAAAAAAACCAATCAGTTGCGATCGCTGCCTTTCACCAAAAAACATTAATTCACCATACTCAAGGTTTGACTTTTGCAATTTTGGGGATAGTCCTTATTCTCCATGGTATTGTATCGTTCTCTTTAACCTGTGCTTTCTAATTTGTTGATCTTCTTTCCTATTGAATAAAATCATGCAAATGGTTTTTAATGCAGTTCTAGCTATATAGAAATTTTGTAACATCTTCACTAGTTTGAAAATCCCCAATTCACTGCAATTGAGGCACGTATTACAAATATTACCCTCAATTCTTTTCTATAAAACCGAAGCTCTAAGTACTACAAAAATTTTGGAAAACAAAATAGCGATCAGCATCTTGACAAACAGCACAAAGGATGCCATGTTTCTCATGTTTTGTACTCTAAAAATTCTTGTATGGCTACTCAAAAGCTCACACTTCGGTTCAGTCAGGATTATAAATAAAAGTAAATCCAGGCATTATTTTACATATTCCCATCAATCTATTAACTAATTACCTAAAACTCTATCGTGCCCATCATTTTTGTCTTGAGAGAGATAAACCCAAATATTCCCCAAGACAACTAAGTTAAAGCACCATGCATTATAGCAAAAGTAGACTAGAATTCAATTATTTCTAATGCGAATTATCCTATGAGTTTGCATATAGTTATAATTCTCCCCATCATCTTCGACCAAAGACTCAGATAAGCAATTCATTAGTCAATGACTAACCCAGCCTTTATTCACATGTTGACACACAGTAGGATCTTTCAATAAATCTCCACATGCTACAATCTGATATTCAATGTTTATCAGGAAATTTTGAGATTTTTTACGCTTTGTGTTTTTGAAAATATGTCTGTCTTTGTACCTTTTTTAAATAAAATTATGTTTTGTTTGATCCACCAAGTAAATAACACTCTGTATCGAAATAAAGCAGACTAGATTCCAGTTATTTTTCTATCGAATTATTCATGTGCGCGTATCCAGTTATGCTCGATTTCGATTTTTCTAATTTTAGAAATCCAGATTTGTACCTTCTGACATTGAAAGGGCCTTCACCGGGAGAACCGTCGCCGCCTTGGATGCAAGTGGTGACGCACTTGCTTGTGCAGGATTCGGCTTTTCTGGACTTAGGTCTTTGGATTTTGGGTTTCCGGCAGTTGCCGGGCGACGGACATTCACCGGAAAGTGTCTGAGGTATGTTGGAGAGAGTCTCCGGTTGAGGCGGCTCCTGAGCACAAGCACGAGCACAAGCACAAGCTATGGCGGCCGCTGCGGCGGCTGAGCTCACCATACTCACAATACTGCTTCTTCTGCCACTCAACGCCGACCGAACCACTTTGTTGGAGCAACTATTACGATCGGTCTCGCCACATTAACAGCAGGCATTAAAGGCAGCAACACTTTTGCCCCATATATTACCATTATCTTCTACTCGGGCTGATTTAACTCTTTCACGTATACCATCATCTCGCCTTCGCCATTATCTTCTTCCCAACTTGAGTGGCTCGCATTTGTAAAAATTGCCGTATGAGATGAGACGAAGCGTACACCGCTTAATGATAGGTATGTATGTGTGTGTGGGAAAATGACAGAAAAGGAGACGTGAAAATGCAAAATAACAATAAGAGAAGCTAATACTTGGAAATAACACAAAGCAACCTCAATCTAAATTGGATTTTTAAATTGAAGGTAATATACAAAATGCCTCTTATTTAAAGAAAAAATTACAAACCCCTTTACCGAAACCCTGTCGCTGACCAGCAACGTCCCGCCGGCACCCCACACCTGCAAGCAACCGGCAGGAAGATTTTTTTTCTTTTCTTAAGTAGTGGAAGTGGCATTCACTCCTGGGTGGTTTGTATCAAAATTAAAGATGACCATTGGCCACCAATGTTTTGTCATCAATATAATGTAAAATATTACTCCTGTATAAGTTAACTATTTAGTTTTAACTATTGGTCATCCATAACTTTTGTGTAGATATTAACTACATTTTAATAGCTATTAACAACTTTTTTTTAGTGAATAACAAAGGTTACTCTTTTAGTAGGTCATTCATATCTTTTGTATTTTATTAGGTATTAACAATTTTCGTTTAGCAAGTAATAAGGTCACACTTTTATGTCATTCCTATATTTTGTATAGGTATTGATTATATTTTAATAGGTGAGTAACAACTTTAGTTTAGCAAGTAATAAGGTCACTATTACTACATTTTAATAGGTATCAATAACTTTCATTCACCACTCTTTCACGTCATTTTTTTTTTTTGAGTGGAAAATGGAAATTCTATTAAACAGTCAAAAGAGGTCCCGAATAATTACAGTAAGGGAAAAAAAACAAAATTAAGCGGTAGGCAAACAGTGCGAATTAAGTAGGAAAATTAATGTCAGCTATGAGGTCCATCGCTTTTTTTTTTTTTTTGAGTGGAAATATGAGGTCCATCGCTTTAGCAGTATGTTCAACGATGGCATCGGTGGCAGCGATAATTTCTTCCGGTCTGAAATCTTCTCTAGCAAACTATCGCTTGTTCCGAGCCTCCCAAAACTTCCAATTGAGGATGCCGAATCTCGGGATCCAGGTCTGGTTGGCTCGACGTGGGTTTATGTTACGTAGGCAACAATCACTGATCGGTTTCCCCAAGAACTACTGAGGTGTCTCTCTGGTATGAGGCGCTTCCAGTAGGCAACAGCCAAGGGGCACTGTCTGAAGATATAGTTTATGTCCTCCATCCCTCCTTCGCATAATTCGCAGTTCGCGCTCACAGCTAAGTGTCGGCGGGTTCATTCAACATGTGGGAGGAGCTCTCCTTTATAAGCCAACCATATGAAGGATTGAATTTGGCAGGCTCCAAGCCACTTCCAAATTGAACTCAGTATTAACTACATTTTAATATATATTAATAACTTTGAAATAAAAATTAACAAGTTATAATTTTAACCTAAATATCTAAGAAAATGAGGAAAACATCATATCTTGAGGAAATGATTAATTTATAAACATCGGTTGCTAATAACAAATTTTCAATTCATTTAACTAATTTTAGAATAAAAATTACCAACAGGGCATTTTTGTTATTTTGATTTAATTTCAAAAAGTTTTCCTTTTCTTTGCAGCATTATGAATTGCTAACTTCCTAAATTGAAATTTAGTATTTTCATGGTTCTTTTTAGGTCATTTTCCCTATATATATAGTTCTAAATATACAACCTATTCTGTAGTGTAAATTACATTATAAAATGTGTCTTACATTTAAGACCGGATGAGTATATTAGCTTTAAGAAAAATGATGGGTCTGTACAAATTTGAACTTATTTTATTTTTTTATCCCCAAAATTTGAAACAAATGATTTTGGTTTTTGAAGTTTGACACCATATTGATATGTCTAGAGAATTTTAGTCCCTATAAGTGTCTAGAGAATTTTAGTCCCTATAAGCCTCGAACAGTGTTTTTGGTTAAAAAAATCAATGATTTCAAATTTTAGGGAGTTAAAATGATATTAACCCAAAAATGATGAAACATGGATTTGACAGGTGAAGATAAATATCAAAATGTCATTATTTGTGACTTAAGTCAACATATGAATTGATTGATCAAATATTATTTTTGTGGTATAAAGCTTTGGCTATTGCAAACTAGGGGCATATGGTTGAGTGCTAGGGCTTATCTTCCCTTAACTAAGGTTAGGGGTTTGATCCCGCTTGAGCATGAAAAGCGTTAAATCTCCTAATCAGCTCTCCTACCTTTCGAAGTACTTACAATTAGCGAATCCGAATTAGTTCAGGCCATTGATGTATAGAAACCCGCAGGAATAAGAAGGATGGAATAGGACTGAAAAATTGAAGGAAACAGTGAGAACAGAGTGTATCCGGCTGCGAATAACGAGAGAAGAAGCCATGTCTGGTCACATAATTGGACAGAGAAGACCAGAGAGGCGGCAGAAAATTCAGATGCCATCACAGAAGCTAATGACCCAGGATTCCATTAGGAATTAGATATCTATCAAACTTAGAGAAGTATTTTGCATTAGCCATTTCATAGGAACTGAGTGCCCAGATTGAAAGGCTATATTTCTTTCAGATTTTACAGGGTAAAGAATGGGGTCACTGCAACTTACAAGCCATGTCACTGGCAAGCATCCAACTGCATATATCTTCATTCAAATACGTCATTCTTGTATAAAGTTAAAAAAAAAAAAAAAAAGCTTCAGAGAGAGATATCGTTGCGTCAAGCTCGCATATGACAGACGACGTTGAATCTCAAATCATCTATTTTGATTGATATCAGCAGATGTTCCACTAGAAGCAATGAAGCAAAGATGGCGAGTTCGAGGAAGGATGGCCTACAAATAGTCCTGAGCATTTCAAGCCTCCATTAAACCTGGAGTGAACTTAAGTAATTTTTATCACCACTATTACCAGCCTTCCTCTCCTGGATCAATTCCAAAACCGTGCTGCAATTTGGCTTCAATAGTGAGTAAATTTCATCCAACCTATTAGCACGACTATAGAGTTCAATCATGCACTTATAATGCTCCATCACAGGTGTTATACCATAATGTTCAGTCATAAGATTGAAGTACTTCTCAGCTTTCTCCAAGTCATTGATATGAACACAAGCGTTTAGAACACCCACAAAAGTGATAGCATCAGGAGCTACATTTGTGTTCTCCATCTCTTGGAAAAAGGAAAGAGCTTCATTTCCCATCCCATGTACACCCAAGCTAGTGATCATTGAATTCCAAGTAGCTAGGCCTTTGGTTGGCATCTTATGGAACACTCTCATGGCGTCTTCCAAACTACCACACTTACTGTACATGTCTATCAGAGCTGTTCCCATGAAGATCCCAAGATCAAACCCATTCTTGAGAGCAAAATCATGAACCCATTTGCCTAGCTTTAGGCTTCCCACCTCAGTACAAGCTTTAATCAAGCATACCACTGTGAATTCATTTGGCATCACATTTTCAAGCTGCATTCTTTGAAATAACCTGAAAGCCTCTATTGGTTGCTGGTCTTTTACATACCCATCAATCATTGCCGTCCATGAAACCACATTCTTAGATGGCATTTGCTCGAAAATTCTTCGGGCTTCATCCAGTTGTCCACAAGCAGCAAGCCCTGAAATCATGGTTGTCCATGAAACCACACTTCGCCCACGCATTTTGTCAAACACCTTATACCCACCCTCTGTATTTCCACACTTCAGGTAAAGATTCATTAGAGTGTTTTGCAAATATATATCACTCGAAAACCCCATTTTGATTGCAAGAGCATGAACTACTTTTCCAAAAGCCAGGGCACAACAAGCTAAGCAAGTGTTTATGACAAAAGGGAACGTGAACTTATCAGGCGTAGGGCCTTGACATAACATGAGCGTGAAAATGTGAAGGGCCTGGTCATGGGAACCACTGATAGTATAAGCCCTAATCATGACATTGCAAGTGAAGGTATCCAGAGCTTTGATCTGATTAAATACTACAGTGGCATAGTCCATATCCCCATAAGAGGAACTGAGGTGTAGGAGCTTCCTGACAAGCAATTGGTCATGGGAGTGACCAAAACGGATTATTTTCCCATGGATTTGCTTCAGCTGCTTCAAACTGGCACTATTTCGAAGAAAGAGAAGAGCCTCCTTTGAGCCAAACTTGGGATTTGGGGTTCTCGAAGGAAGAGTATGTGGGGTGCATGAAAGGCACACCACTTTCATACCCAATTCACAGTCAGTACTCCAACATGTGAAGATTTGCAGTTAGGATAGCCCAAAAGACAGAAGCAAACCAATCCTACCAGAAAATGTAGGGAATCGATTCTTCAGCTTATTACAAGCCTCTCAGATGAGGATGTGGACACCGTTCGTCCCCCTCCCACCCACAAACGGAGAGCGCAATAATCCATTTTCATTTTTCAAGTGAAAAAAGTGCAGTTCGTAATCCCCCCCACCCACCACCTTCCCTCAAAAAATTAGATTAAATACAAAAAAAATCTCTTAAATCCCCCTCGAAAAAAGTGCAGTTCGTAATCCCCCCACCCCCTCGAAAAATTGCAATTAAATCCCACTTAAAGAGATTAAATACAAAAAAGTCTCTTAAAATCATGAAATTATTCTGAAGTTTCAAAAAACCTCATTGTAATAAGTTTTATTTGTTTAATTATAAAATTATCCTTTTTTTTTTAAGTTTACATTGACAACTGAAAAAATAGTAGTTGACAACTTAAGATGTAAGGATTGACAACTATCGCGATAGATATTGATAACTCATGCATTACATTTTGTGATGTGCTAAGAAAATGTGTTGTCAATACTTGCCACAATAGTTGTCAATCCTTGCACTTTAAGTTGTTAACAACTGTTTTTTCAATTGTTAATACAAATTTTAAAAAAATTACTGTGGGCAATTTAGTACTTAAATAAAAAAAAATTTTGCAAAAAATTCTCTTACAACTTCAGAATTATTTTGTAATTTTAAGGGATTTTTTTGTATTTAATTTCTTTTGTCGGACCTAATTACAAGTTTTTCTTATTTATTCAATTAAGGTTGGCATGTTGCAACAGCAAAACACAAACAGTATCATGGAAAAATAAAAAAAAGTTATTTTATTTCATCTAAAAAACAGAAAACCACAAAAATAAAGAAAAATTCCACATAAAAGAATTTAAAATTACTAAATTTCAAATTAGGTTTAGTAATAATATTTTGATAAGTTTTGATAATACTTAATTGATAAATAATAACACTTTTTTTATTATTTAAGGTTTGGGGGGTGTTTGGGTTTTTCTTCAAACCATGGTTTTGAAGAGAAAACCATGGTTTGAAGAAAAAAAATCCAAACACTACATATTTTTTCAAAATCACTTTTCAATTTAAAATTATAGTTTGTATAAAAGTAACCAAACATTATAATTTTTTTTTCAAAATCACTTTTCATTTGGAAACTGTAGTTTTGGGTATAAAATCATGGTTTTTCATAAAGTGATTTTTTTTTCCGGCTTTTCTTGTTACAAGAGACGGGATCGAACCCGCACACACACACTCCACACACACGCATGCCTACCACTCGGCCAAACAGCCGGTGGTTATTTCTTTTTCTTTTTTTGCTGTTAAAGGTATAAAACCATGGTTTGGGATATACATGTCAATTATTAACTTTGATTCTTAATGTAAGAGTTAGAAAATTAATTTGTAAATATTAAAAAAAATTAATTAAATTATTTATTTATAATAAATAGGTATTACATTCTCTAAAACATCTATTAACGATGAGTATTGGGATTAATATTTGATGTATCATTTAACATGTGTAAATTAACATGAGAATTACTTTGAAAAAAACGGATAAATGTATGAGACATGGTAGATTGATATGTTATATTCAGAATCAAATGGAATACCCAATTTGTTCTTATACTAAGGATTGGAGATAATATTAATTATATTTGTTCATATATAATTTATTATTTACAAATTTATTATTTCAAACAAAAATGTAAATTAAAATCTATCATTTATCTAATTATCTTAGTAATTTGTATATGAAAAAAAAAAGATTCTGATAACAATTATCCAAATATTCTCACTTTATCAAAATCACTTTTTTTAAAATCTATTCTCAAAATCTATTTTTCCAAAATCTATTCATAGAATCTATTTTTTTAAAATTTATTTTCTAGAAACTATTCTTTAAATCATGATTTGGTTTCATCCAAACATCCTTTTAGTAGTTTCAAATTTTATTTTTGAATTCTTTTTAAAAATTACGTAGATAATATTAAAAAAAAACAAAATGTTAAATGAATAATAAAAAGGGAAAATTGCTCAAAAGCAGAGGTGGTGATGTGGCCTAACGTCCAGGCTACAAAGGTCAGGCAAGGCAGGTTGGAAGGCATCGCCTGCAGACCCGCTGGAGTTCAGATTGGCAAATCCCCTCTTTGAAAAGAAATTAGCTTTTTTAATATTTTCATAGGAAAATTGAGGATAAATTTTTATTTGAAAAATTAATTGGGTAATGGTACCTAGAATATTTAGGTCCTTGAGTGGGAGAAAGACTAAACTCTACTGCATATTATTCATCTAAAATTGCATATAGTTGATTCTAATTACATACTGTAGATGCGTAGTTGCATATGAAATTTTATTGCATATCAAAGATTCTAAGTGCACATCGTTGATCCAAACTTACATATTGCTGATTTTAATTGTATATTGTGGCTATCTGGTTGCATATGGAATCTCATTGTACATGAAGAATTCTAATTGCATATAATTGATTCATATTTACATATTGTTGATTTTAATTATGATGGTGCAATTAGGCATAATTATATAGCAATTGGCTTAGTTTATAAGAATGATGGAGGGGAGTTTCCGTGGGGTTTTGGTGATTGGGTGAAGGCTAACTCAGCCTTCATGACTAAAGTGTTGGCTGTTCAAAGAGCAATATCTTTGCTAAAAGAGTTGCAGATTGATAAAGCAGTTTTGAAAGTGGATTGCTCTGATGTTTACTGGTGCTGGAAGAATAACTCTATTAATGGTGCTGATTGGAGAGGCAGCTGGGAAATGCAGGAAGTCATCAATGAATTTGCAGATTAGCTGGGCTTGGACATTGCTCTTGTACGCAGAAAGAGCAATGGAGCGGCAGGCTGGATTGCCGTGGCATGTGGAAAGGGACTATCATCAATTTTTGTGGTGAACTCACCGACAATCCCTCTTGCTACTATCCTAGCAAATGATACTTTGGTGGATGATGTTCCTGCAGTTTCTAGTAGTTTTGCGTTTAAGGATGTTGCTGACAGAAGTGGGATTGCTTGAAGATGTTTGATGCTGCTCTGTTTGTTTGTTTTGTTTGCTTATTTTGTTTTGATGTTTGCTTCAGTACTGTATTGGCTTTATTTGTTTTTGTTGCATCTTAAGGTTTTTACTGAATATTTTTCTTTTCTGTCTTCTACTGTAAGTGAATATAATAATTATATAATCTCTGATCTTTTAAGTTTATCTTTATTTTGATTTTAGTTCCTCAAGTTTAAAATAATAAGTTTTAGTCATTTTAAGGGTAAAATGGTCTAAATTTTTATTAGATTATAGACTTGATAGATCAAAACTTATGATTTGAAATCTGAGAGACCAAAACTAAAATGAAAATAAATTTGATAGATCAAAGTTTGTATTAACCCTAATGTTTTTGTGACCAATAAGTTGGACTTATTTTTTTGGCCCAAAAAGAAAAAGGAAAAACGAGTGTCCATCCCTCCTTATGTAGTTTAAGGATAAAAATGGCATTTAACGGTGAAAACATCCTACACGGGGGGCTTTGTGCGCCGTACATATCGTTCATGTAATCATTCCAGAACCATTTCATCATTTTTTGTGCTATCACGTGGTTCCTCTTGCAAATGCATGAATCATCAAATAGAAGCTTGCATTGGCGTAAATTCTAGTCATTTTCGCTCTTGTAAGCTGTGTTGGTAAGGTCAATGACCCTCTTATTTAACCATGACTTACCTAGTTAATAAAAGAGGTTCTCGTACACATAGCCTAATGAATCTCACTGTTATTGGGATTTTGTTTCTGTATTTGGAATGAAGTGAACAGCCATACGATTGAGCCTAGTTGACAAAACGAAGTATAGGTTCTGGGAGGATAATTGGCTTGCCAAGCCGTGTTTTTGTCCGCATCGCAGGAACCAAGGCCCCCCATGAAGGTGGGATGGCGAAGCTCGCTGTTATTGGGACAGGAGAGGGATGGAGCTTTCTCAGTCGGCTCCGCTCGATTTGGCTTCGCGCGAAGTGTTTGGGACGCACTAACAACTGCGGATAATCGTGGTGACTCTTGGGAGCAGGACCTCGCAACTGATTGATAGGTAACTTGAAAGTCACATTGTTCGTTGGCAGGGATAAAGAAAATGGTGCACCTTAATTGGTATCACCTGTTGGAATCTATGGGAGGCTCGAAATCTCCATGTATTCCATAACTCACAGGTCTCGACATTCAGCCTGCTAGAGAAGCTCGAAGGGTGCTTGGGAGAGGCAGGTGTACAAGGGAGGAGCGATACATTACATGGTCCAAACCTCTCCCTGGTTACGTGGCTTTCAACTGTGATGGATCCCGGAGGAACTCAGACGGACGCGTCGGGGTAGGCTGCTTAATTCGGGACGAGGCGGGGCAGTGGTTAGCAGGGTGCGTAAGGAATGTTGGGGTGTGCTCTGTGCTACCAGCGAAGCTGTGGGCAACTGGCTCGGACTTGAACTCTCCTGGAACGAAGGGCACCGACGCGTTAAGATATATGGATTGCTCGCTGGCTCTGAACATGATCCAGAAGGAACAGCTGGGCATCAACGCTAGCTGGGACCTTTTACGAAGAATTGGAGAACTACTCTCTCGAGACTGGGAGGTTGACATGACCCGCGTGTGTTGGGAGGCCACTAGAGGCGCTCATGCGTTAGCAACACATGCACTAGAGATGAATATGGGATATCAAGCCCTGGAATGCTCGCTCGCTTACATGTGTTGTATCTTAGAGGAGGAGGTGTTATAAGAGCTTGCTAAGTGCATGAGTGATTGTTTCGCAACGTTTGTAAACAAAAAAAAATTAATAACAATAATTTGTCAATATAATCCTTATTTTTTTATCGCCACTATTGCATGGTTCTCTTTAACACGTGTTTTTTCCCCTTCAAATTTGTTGATCCTCTCGTTGAAAAAAAGATTAATTCTTTATCTATGACATTCAGGAATTTGCTATACATATCGGAGAGTATGTGGATCAACAATTTAGATTCAAGAAGTAATGAGTCATTGAATAATAAATTTAAGGAACTCATTAATGCAATTCAATTTATCAAATAGGCAAAATACGAAAAACATGACCGAAGGGATATCCCAGACCAAAAAAAAAGAAAAAAAGGACCTATAAATAGAGTCAAGCTAGGAATGGGCAAATCCCATCTCTAAAGAATCAAGGATCCCAGGGTGGATAATCTTTGCAATTTCCAAAGGTAGGCATGGTAGACCAACTTCTCATGAATTCACTAATCACCAGTGTGAGGATATATACGACACTTGGATCATCTAAACCTAGCATAGCAGCAGTATGTGCAAGTTATCAATTTGAAGTTTCACACGCAATACATCAGTTCAAAGACGTGATGTGTATAACATGGATCTAATTGCTATCACTTCATGAGAGCAATGTCGTTGACCAGTAATTTCCCCACACCCCACTCTTCATATCTATACATGATTTTTTTTTTCCCACCATATTAAACCCATTTGTACAAATTTTAATTGTACCAATGAAGATATAGATTGAAGAATCTACTTGAAACAGCCATTGGGCCAAATTGGCCAGCCATCATATGGAATCTCGCTTATGGGAAGAACTGTCTCGGATGCAAATGATACTGAACAGGGAACGATCAGGTATTCTTCTCTAAGACGGATAGTGCTGGAGTCAAGTAGTTATTTGCTTTGTCAGGCAAGTGTGCAACCTGGGCAATTCAAACACAGCATTTCAGATTTTCAGTTTCCAAGCATGCAGACTAGATCATAATTAACTGCTTTTTTTTTTTTTTTTTTCAAAACCCCTACAGAACTGTAGTTAATTTTTGTTTACGTACCAGCTCGTAAAGCTCCCTCCCTTTGTCAGCAACATATTCGTAACATACCTGAAATTTTGAAAAGCTATTAGCTTCTTTTAGTTAAAATTCAGTATAATATTAATAATCAAGCAGGATATACTCACATCAAAGCTTTTGTTTCTTGCGGTTGAATCATGTAGCGCCTTGACACATATATCAGCCACATCAGCACAGCTGATTTCCTAAAAAACACAGAATTTGGCGTTGGTCAATCAGTGAATTTTATAATTAACAATTCGTGAACTTGGTTCAATAAATTAAAAAGAAATTTGAAAAAGAACCATGTATCTGATAACAATTGTTTTAGATCAATTAATCCCAGCCATTACACAAAAGAAACCGTCTCCTTGGGTATGCATGAGACGCATTAAAAACTCACCAGACATTATGTGACCCTTATATTATGCTCTGCTACTGTTATCTCTTGTTAACTAAGAAATTCTTCCCTCTTAATCTAGCATGATGGCAAGATCTGAATCAATCAGCACTAAATAGTTTTGACAAGGCAATTCGTTTCTTCATTTTTTAGCTCATGGCTGACCATATAATGATACGCTTCATTGGAAAGCAACATACCTGTTTTACCTATGCTTTGCTCAGTTACAATTCCCACATTTACGTGTTATGCATGTGTCAGTGACCATGTTTCTTAACTTGGAATAAAGACTTCGAAAGTCATATATTTGTTGTTTCTCTTCAAACACATGACTTTGATAGAATTGCTTTTACTTGAGAGCCCTATAAAAGTAAAATTAGCAAAATCAAGAAAGAGGAAAGGGAGAATTACAATGAGGTGCCAAGGACGAAAATAATTACCAACCAGTTCCAATAACAATCTGAGCAGCCTGTAATAACAAGTTTCAGAACAGAAAATGACAACTTTTAATACTTATTTTGTAATTATTTTCCTTCCTTAGGATCTCATTGTAATTCTCCCAAGAGGAAAATCACTTCCTGGTGTACAAGGGGTCAACCTCAAGCTTCCTTCTCTTTTGGGGAGAGAAACTAAGCATTAGAGTTACTTTAGGGTGGCTATAGACCTGACCTAGGAAAGGATTGTTTTTGGGGCTCTAAGGATCACCCTTTGGACTTACAACAGTCATTGGTTTCTCAGGGAAAGGCAGGACTTATTTTGTAATATGAGAGCAGTTATGAGAGCTCTGGCCTCTTGAATGCTAGTTGAGGGAGGAGGAAGAGTGTCTTCATCATTTTTCATTTTAACTTAAGTGTGCTAGTTTCTTTTGTATCTTTCGTGTGAGATTGGTGGGAGTTAACTGCTGTAATTTTCCTTCTGTTCTTGAGGAGAAAATATTTTGTGGAATCAATATCAGCTTCAACTTTATTTTCCTGCTGTTCTACCTTGGTTCCTATGGAATATAAGAAATTGGATTGTTTTGCAATCCGGATGCCCACACTGAGATTTAAATGGAAACAGTGCCTTCAAAGAGATACAAAGAAAAAAGAGATAATGGGCAAAAATAATGTATGAGTCACAGACACGATCGTATTGTGGTGTTATTCTCTTTTTCAAATTTATGAATGCATGAATGAAAAGGAACCCATTTGCTTGATAGTAGATAATTAAAAGGAAGAAAAAGTAAAATTCAGCAAACCTGAGATATTCTGTTTCCTTGGTCAAATATTAGAGCACGCTGACCACCGGGCTCTTCCTGCAATGTTTCAGAAGCTACAAATTAGTCCAGAAGGGAACACTACTAATTATTTGCAATAACATCCTCCTTATTTAGAAAGTTTATCTTCCATACAGGTAATGGTTTTATGTTCACAACAAACAAATGGTTTTCAGTTTTATCTCTCTCTCTCTCTCTGTTCTTCTTGTTTTTTTTTTTTGGGGGGGGGGGGATGCGTTTCATTATTGTGGGGAAGAGATAGGGAAAAGATGGTTTTCATTACCGCCAACCTTGGTTAAACCATGAACAACTAACCAATTCATTATTTTTTCATGCTTATCTATTGTATCGGGGTAAACAGACAGTCACCACGAATACTTAGAGGTGGCCAAGTCAACCATTTCTGGATGAACAATGGAAGATGATGCAAGCCACGTACTCTCAAGTGCGATGGAGTTTAACAGAACATGGCAGCACAGATGAGTGCAGCATTTGAATTCAAGATTATTTTGGCCTTTTGAGTACATTGAGCGCGTGCCTCTTTTCTTGTCGTACATTGCATCAGAATAGGAGGTCTAGCTTCGAAACGGTGGGGAACGAATGTGATGCAATAACATTCATTAGGTGTTCTGCCTGGCCACATTTTTGACCAAGTTTGGAATCATCAAAGGATACAAATCACTAGTGCTGATACCACATACAATTTTAGATTCAAAAGTTTCCTCTTAATTTATCTTATTTGGTAAAATTAAAAATCATCTTGGTATACTTAGTACATATAAAGGAGATAGCTGAGTCTAGAAATCAATCAACCACTGTCAAAAATCAAGGAAGAATACATAATAAATATAGCCTAACCAGGCCATAACCCTAAGCCACTGTCCTGTGGAGGGTCTATATTAGTATCCCTGCTTCCTAGCATAATTGTCAATTAAAAGTTTCCAGGTCTACAATTGAAACTTTACCTTTAAGGGACCAGGACGAATTATTGTGTATCCAAGGCCAGATCTTCTCAACGAATCTTCCCCAGCCTGCCGAAATTCCAAAAATTGACATCATCATAATGTAAAATATAAAAATGTAAAATATAAAAAGTTAAAATGCAATTTTAACAATTAAGCTTTGCACAAGGAGCATCTGGGACCAGTAAGTTTTGAGGGTGCAAAAATAAAACATAAACGTTAAAAAGTGAGCTTTTTCAACACCCTGTTAAAATGGCCAACGTTGACCATCATGAAGGAGGTGTGGGATAAATGTTTGACCTGAAATGGTGATGTGGCAAGAGTGAACTGTGATGTGGCTATGATACATGACAGGTGTGTAAATAACTTTGATTTTGGGAGAAGAAAAATTAAAATAAAAAAATTTTAACTTTCAAAATTTATATTTTGGGGGGGGGGGGAAGATGAAAACAGAGATCGAATCACCCAGCAATTCACAACACAAATAAGGCTCCAAAATTTTGAGATACACTTGGGGTCTGAAAACACACACAAGCTATTGAAGAGGAACAAGGGCTTGCGAGCATTGGGGAATTAAGGGAGATTGGTAAATCAACAAGGATATAGGATCAGATCAGCATCCAAAGGGAAGAGTACTGGTTCAGCGCGAGCAGAATCAAAGGAGAAGATATCAAGTGAGGAGAGAATAGAGAAAGTAGAAGAAGGCAGAATACTGGTTTGGGAAGAAAATGAAAGATGAAGATAGCAAAGGTCACAGAATACTTGTTCTCCCGTCTGCGACGGTTTCTCACATGGCAGCTCACCCCTCTATTTGTAGAGGGTCTTCTTCGATCTCCCTCCTTAGCTCACCAATTCACTTTCATTTTGGTTTCCCCCCCTTTTGATTTTAGGAGTTGGGATCAGCCAAAAACGCTTGTGTGACTTTGTCAAAGAAGACTCATCGGAGATAGGATGGCAAAATCAATGGCTGCTGTTAGTGTGATTTTGTTGTGTTTAGATGCATTTGCCTGAGAACTATCTGATCCCTCTTGCGTTTGGTTTCTACCCCAGCCTCCAAACCTTACCCTTGATTCATCACCATCCAGTCTCTGCCAATTTTTTTTTTTTTCACTGTTCTGGTGCTTTAAGTTTAGCATAAGTTCATTTTTCTCCAGATTTTATCCAGCGCTGTGGAACTACAAATTCAGAAAGTTCATTTTCTGGTCCATATTTTTTCCACTGCTATTCTATATCTATGTGGTTCTCTCTAATTCTATGTCACTAAAATAAAATTGCGCCGGCTTTTAATCTGGATTTGAATATGAAAGGTATGAACTTCTCTATGTGGCGATGAAGTTTCATGGCTGAAGAAAAAAATGGTTTCATCGAAGAGAGAGGAGAGATATGATGAATTAGAAGCATTATTTTAAAAGGGTAAAATAATATAAATTGAGCATGTGACACGTAAGCTCCCAACTAGGACAAAAAATTAAGCATGTAAATTGGTCAATTGCACAACATCTGCCAGCCGGAAAATGAGTGGGATCCGCATGGAAAAAAGGAGACTGACATTTGGCTTTGGTAATGGAAATGGCAAAATGGTATGAGATGCTCCTTACATGAAACTTAATTGTTAAAAAAACTGCACCTTAATCCAAATATAAAGCATCTTTCAACAAAATTAAAGAAACAAAAGGGTCCTACCTTCTTGGCTTTTAGAACTTGCTCCCTTCTTGAGCTTTCAATTCCATTTCCAGAACATGATACTAGAACAAAATCTGTTTCTTGCCCAGTCTACAGCGTATTATCAGGTAAACATGACACCAGGCTAATTAGTTTTGCTAATGCAAAAATGTGCAATTTAGAAAATTAATCATCCAGATGCATCATCAAGCAGAGTCATTTTGCTTCTTTCCCTCTCTCTGTTTCGAATTTTTATGAAGGGCATCAAGCAGAGCAAAAATATTTATCGGCCTGGTAGCAATGATAGAAAGTATGCTATACAGTACAATTCATACTCGCCAGGCAACACCATCAAGGAAAGAACCATCCCCAGAACTTTTGACTCGTATCATAACCATGATATATAATCTACTCATGGACTTGCATTAAGATATACACATAGCTCAATATGCACGAGAGGCATGATTAAAGATTGCTGGGGTAGTGGGAGAGCCAAGGTTTGTATAGCAAAAAATATAAATTTCAATGCAAGTACTTTGGGAATTCAAACATTCAAATGCAAATATTATCTGATTTGTGTGCATGAGAAAAAACAATTTTAGATAGCACTATGCAATATAATGTAATGTGGTGTGATAATAAATGAAATGACTTCAAAGATGCCCAAAACAATCACACTTTGTAAGACACATCATCCAGACCAGAAAAAAGGAAACGGAAAAACCACACCCTCATTGAGATATGGGTATCATTTGAGATATATATATATATATATATATCATCATTTTAATCATGTCACCTAAGGAAGTTCAACTAGTATGAGTTAGCTCTGCTATTAGCATGGACAGAAGAACTCAATGATCTTGCAATTTGCAATACATGACTAGAAGACAAACATATAATCAACATTATGGCTGTCTACGCCACATTAAAAGGAATCCGCAGAAGAGCACTTACAGGCAAGGCTTTTATATATTCTAGTATAAGCTTAAAGCTTCTCAAATCTTGACTCTTTGATGTAGGTACATCAACAGGCCTCTGCAACAATAAATATAGTATCATCACACTGTAAATATTTGGGAAAATAAAAAATTACTATCGACAAATGGAAAAAAAAAAAAGAAAAGGAGAAAGATGTTATGTCAATTATTAAATAATGCACTAAAAAGTGTACAAATGATTTAAATGAAAACAAGTACTATATACTTTGACAAAGGAAGTGGCATGAAAAGGACAGCAAAGTAATTGCCTCTATTTCGGAGGGTTCTTGCACATGAAGCCACGTTGTATCTACTATTTAGTCATCTAAGTACGATCAAGTTGCTTTAAGATAGACTTAGCAAGGAAAGTCTTCCTCAGCGATAAACTCCTTTAGCAAGGCCTTATAAATTCAGAATTTTGCAACCTAGTTTTATTGTGGGACAGACACTGGGTGATCATTGCAAGTAAGCAAAGGAGAGACAGCAAGTGAAAGTGCTGATAATGTGTAATGGATAACTAGCTGTGTAGACTATAAATTGTTGAGTTTTTTTTTTTTTTTTTTTAAATTTGCATTTCCAGTTTTTCTCTTTTCTGGGCAACAAACTATAATTAGTGAGTTGCTGCAATATGTTAGCATAGGCCTCGCCCATGACCAATAGCCCAGTAGCTTACTTCCATTCAAAAAACAAATGAAATGTGAGTAGAGCCTCTGCACTATGCTTTCTATAGATGTATTGACTAGAGAGCAGATGGAATATATTTTTCATGTATATTCATAATCAGAAAGGGAGATTATATACACAAGAGAGGAGCCCTACGCATTAATGGCTCATTAATAGGAGATAATATCCTATCGTATAATATCCTATGATATATGATTTGATCCTATACTAATTACAATATATCTATATATTTTTACACTCCCCCTCAAGTTGGAGCATAGATGTGAATCATGCCCAACTTGTTACAAAGATAATCAACCCGAACCCCATTCAAAGCCTTAGCATGGAGATCACTCAACCGATCACTGGATCTCACGTGTCCTGTTAAGATGAAGTTTTCCTTGAGCTTATCCCGAACAAAATGACAATCAATCTCAATGTGTTCTGTACGTTCATAGAATACCAAATTAGAAGCTATGTGTAAGGCTGCTTTATTGTCGTACCACAGTTTTGCTGATAACGAGGTTTTAAGACCAACCTCCTTCAGTAACTAATGTATCCAGACTATCTCACACACAGATTGTGCCATAACTCTATATTCTGCCTCTGCACTTGATCGTGACACCACATTCTGCTTCTTACTCCTCTAGGACACCAAATTTCCTCCCACAAAGACGCAATATCCTGCAGTGGATCTTCTTATGGCCTTTGAACCACCATGATCAGCATCACAAAAGCACTCAATATCTGTATGACCATGATTTCTGAATAATATCCCATGACCTGGAGACCCCTTCAAGTAATAAAGCACATGCTCTAAAGCTTCCCACTGCTGATAGTAGGTGAGACCATAAACTAGCTAAGTACACTGACTGAATAGGTGATATCAGAACGGGTCACAATAAGATAATTCAATTTTCCAATCAGTCTTCGATACCTCTTCGGATTTTCAAACGGCTTGCTTTTAGCAGCGTCAACTGGATTCTCAAATGGTATGCTTCCATCAGCATCAAGTAGTGGATTATAAATCATAGGAAAACTGTTTGGCGCAGCCCCTAACTTTCCACTTTCCTTCAACAAGTCAAGAACATACTTCCTCTGAGTCAATAAAATTCCTTTCTTACTTCTCAAAACCTCAATTCCAAGAAAGTACTTTAACGGGCCCAGATCTTTTGTTTGGAAGTGAGAATTAAGAAAGGACTTAAGTGATGAGATCCCCAACATATTACTCCCCGTAATCACAATGTCATCTACATATACAACCAACAGAATCATGCCAGTGTATGTTTTCTGATAGAACACAAAGTGATCACACATACTTTGACACATACCAAATTTCTGGACAACAGTACTGAACCTGTCAAACCATGCACAGGGACTCTGCTTCAGTCCATATAAGGATCTTTTGAGGCGACATACTTTTCCACGCTCCCCTTGAGCAATAAAGCCTGGTGGTTGCTCTATATAGACTTCTTCAAGGAGATCACCATGTAAAAAAGCATTTTTAATATCCAATTGATAGAGATCCCAGCCACAAGTTGCTGCCATGGAGATGAAAAGGCGAACGGAGGAAAGTTTCACAGCAGGGGAAAAAGTTTCAGAGTGATCAACACCATAGGTCTGAGCATAGCCTTTAGCAACCAAGCAAGCTTTAAGATGGTCAAGGGTACCATCAGCTCGAGTTTTAGGGGTCAAGACCCACTTACACCCAATAGCCTTCTTCCCGGCCGGTAGATCCACCAAGATCCAAGTGCCAGCCCGGTCAAGGGCCACCATCTCCTCTTCCATAGCAGCACGCCAACTCGGGTGGGCTAAAGCTTCATGTAGGGTCTTAGGGACGGAAATAATCTAAAGAAGAGACAAAGGCACGAGAGGCAGGGGAAAAGTGGTTATAAGAAACAAATGAGGAAATAGGATGAGGACAAATGCGTTTACCTTTGCGAAGAATAATGGGCAAGTCAAGTGAAGGATCCGGATTAGGAACAGGAGGTGTCTCGGAGTTGGAGATAGGTGTAGGCTTAAGATGAGAGATGCTCAACACAGGATTTGATGACAAAGCAGACATTGAAGGGCCGGAATTTGAGGCGGTGACATTGGTCTCCTTGGAACGTCTAGTGTAGACACGAGACAACAGTGGTGGCACAGGTGCTGGAGCTAGAGCCAGAGGTGGTGAAGTGGGTGGCGGGAGGACAAGGTATACTAGAAGGTCATCCTTGTCCACAGATGGAGGAGGGGCAGATGAAGCCGATTCCTAAAAGGTGACATCTGCAGAAACTAGATAACGATTAAGAGTAGGAGAGAAACACCAATAGCCCTTTTGAACCCGAGAGTATCCTAGAAAGACACTTAAGAGACTTCGGATCTAATTTGGAGACAGATGGTCATACATCCGGGACAAAGCAAACACAACCGAAGATCCTGGTATCAACAGGAAATAAAGGTTTGGAAGGGAAAAGAGTAGTATAGGGAATGTTACCATCAAGAACTGAAGAGGGCATGCGGTTAATGAGGAAGCAAACAGTGCAGACAGCATCAGCCCAGAAAGTTTTGGTAATCTCCATCTGAAACAGAAGTGCACGTGCCACCTCTAGTAAGTGGCGATTTTTACGTTCCGCAACACCATTTTGAACTGGTGTATCAACACAAGAAGATTGATGAAGGACACTATTTTGAAGCATACGGGATTGAAACGTGGTCGAAAAATATTCTTTAGCATTATCACTTCGTAAGGTGTGAATGGAAGTATGAAATTGAGTTTGAATTTTTGCAAAAAAGGCACAAAAATGAGAATATAATTCAGAACGACTTTTTATTAAATATAACCAAGTTGTACGGGAATAATCATCAACAAATGTAATAAAATATTTAAAACCTGCTGTTGACTCAACAAGACACGGACCCCAAACATTAGAATGAACTAGCTCAAAAGGGGACGAAGCCCGTTTATTGAATTGAGAAACTAAAGGAAGACGATAATGTTTGGCATACTGACATGACTTATAATCTAAAGATGACAAATATTGAAATTGAGGATAAACCCTTTTTAAAGAAGACAAAGACAAATGACCCAAACGACAATGTGCTTCAAAAGGAGTGACACCACCAGCGCAAGCTACTGCACGAGACCCTTGCTCGTCAAAGAAATAATGTCCATCAGATTCATAGCCCCTACCAATAATCTTTTTCGTCAAAAGATCCTGTATTAGGCAATGATCAGGAAAGAGTGAGACCTAACAGTTTAATTGACGAGTAAATTTACTAGAGAAAAGCAAATTAAATGCAAGATCAGGGACATTTAGCACAAATGACAAATGAATGGAGAGGGTAGGTTTAACAGTGCCCAATCCGAGGACTTGGGAATGGGAGCCATTGGCAATAGTAATAGAGGAAGGATTGGCGTAAGAAGTATAAGTGGAGAAGAGATGGCGGTTACTTGTCATGTGGTTAGTAGCACCAGAATCTATGATCCATTTGGAGGAAGAAGAGACAAGAGCAGTAGCCTGATTACCTATAGCAGCGAAAGCATTCATGGGTGTTGCAGCAGATTTTAATTGAGCATATTCAGCAGTAGAGATTGTGATCTTGTCATCGGCTAGTGTTGTCACATGGGCAGAGTTATTACGTTGTTTGTTTTGCAACTTGCGACAAGTACGTTTTGTATGGCCCGGTTCTTTACAGTAGTAACATATCACCCCACTTGTATCTGGAGTGGCTCCCCCTTGCTTGGAATCACCACGGTTACTCATTCCACGATTATCATTTGGGTCTCGACTGATGAGAGCACTGACAAGAGCAGTTGGAACTGGTGATGAAAGGTTCTCAGTCCTCATCACACGCGAAAACACCTCCTGAAGAGTAGGAATCTCAGATCCAGATAAAATCTGAGAGCAAATAGTCTCGTACTCAGGTAAGAGCTCAGTGAGAAAACTCATAATGGCCATATGCTCGCATTGGGCCTGTTGAACCTTTAGATCAGAAGTAAAGGGCATTAGGATATTCAGTTCTTCATACATTCGTTTAAAATCCATGAAGTAGGTCTTGAGAGGACGATCTTGCTTCTTTGCACGATAAAAAGCTTTGCAAACCTCATAAACACGAGAAATATTTCCCTTGCCTGAGTATAAAAATTCCAAATAATTCATCAATTCTTTAACAAATTCACAGTGAGTAACAGAAGGGATAATCTCACTGTCAATGGAGTTGCGGATCTGTAAGAAGAGCCGTGCATCATCCCTTAACCAGGATTGATGAGAGTCAGTGGCCGAAAGGTCCTCAGTTAAATGATTTTCCTTCTCAATGCTCTGTAAGTAGATACGGATTGTCTTACTCCAATCCAGATAATTTGTCCAGTTTAATTTGTATTCAGTTAATCTTAATGACTACTGATACCACTTCAGAGGTAACTGCAGACTTAGTATCACCCATGAGAGATGAACAGGACAGAAACAATAATTTTAACACAAATAATCACACCAGGGACAAAAAAAACACCACCTACAATCTGTAAAAGGCAATAGCAATAACACCATATATGAAACACTGCTGTTTAGAGACCAAATGTAGCTAAACAGAAGCCAAACAGCAAATATAGCTTAACAGAAGCCAAAAATCAACCCAAGGAGGAAGAAACAGAACCGAGACACACCAGGGATAGGCCAAAAATGAAGAGATGAGCTCAAGGGAGAATTTTGACGTCGGAAAGTGGCCGGAAAAGTGATCGGCACGTGGGGACAGCAACAGTGCGTGATGCTCACACGCTCTGACTGTGACGGCGCGTGACGCTCACGCGCTGCTCAGATGGCAACGAAACTCCAGTGGTTGGCCGATCAGAACACTGTGACTCCTCTTGGCCGGCGCGTGTTCACACCAGAGGCCTAGAAACCGGAGCTCTAATGATGGGCACAAGGCGGACAGAAAACAAACGTACAGTGTACCCAGATCTCAACAGAACAGAACGAACAGGGACCTTAAAATTGACGCTCTGATACCATATTGACCAGAGAGCAGATGGAATATATTTTTCATGTATATACATGATCAGAAAGGGACATTATATACACAAGAGAGGAGCCCTAGGCATTAATGGCTCATTAATAGGAGATAATATCCTATCGTATAATATCCTATGATATCTGATTTGATCCTATACTAATTACAATATATCTACATATCTTTACAACATGCATAAGTACACACAACTCTCCTACTTTGGGTCATGGTATTAGCACAATCCCTTATCCACAAATAAGTGTTAAAGTCATCACTAGTGTTAGGCTAGGCCCATGACCACCAGTCCAGTAGTCATTAGTTAACTCAATCAGACTGCTAAATATAAGTAACGCTAATAAACAGAATGAAATATGAGAAGTTTGCATTGCATTGTATTCTATCTGTACCCCTCCCCCCAAAAAAAAAAAAAAAAAAAATTTCTGGCACGAGGGAAAACTAGTACATAATGCCTGGTGTACTAAATAATTAAAAAGATAATTGTTTTACAAAGATGATATCAGGTCTAAATTTCACGAACTAAATAATCAGTAAGGTTATGGGGTAAAAACCTGTCTTCTTGGCTCGAAACGTATTGTCAAAGTATGCACAAGAAAAGGATCCAATGGTGGATCATCTGGTTTTACTGGACGGAATGATGAGAATGGTACTCTAACCTGACACATTAATACCAACAGTTAATATGAAAAATATTGAAGTACACTGCTAGAATCTTTGCTGAGATGAAAAGAAACTGAGTCAATGAAAAGCAATTATTTTCTTAAAAGGAAATTATTATTACCCTACAAAATCCCAATTTTGTGCTAATTCTTGCAAAATACAATTTGCTTTGACTTGGATCTGCTGAAGGACCGGCTTCTAAAATTAAAACATAAGATCTTCCATTGCCACCAACTGAGAGGACCAGGCCCTCATACCTAACATGGCAGATTTCAACTCATACATATAAGTTCAAACGAAAAGCAAAACATAAGATAATTCTAGATAACTATCTCGCCAACAGACACCATATATCTATCATTTGATACCTGTCAAGAGTGCAACCTAAAGGCAGAGAAAGCTTTTTGGAAAGTTCGACATAACCTCCTCTTGTGAAAACATAACCTAAAATTAATATGAAAAATAGATTCAACAAGGGTATATGTTCCTTTTCACTCTCTTATTTATAACTAGAAAAAAAAAAAAGAAAAGAAATTCGAGTTTTCCCTTATTGGTATTAACATTCACTACATGTATGTACCTGAGAAAACAGCTTCGCCAGTCTCAGTGAACTCAAATCTAGAATCCATCCCTCCATCATATTTTGTGGCAATTACATCTTGGAAGTAAGTTCCTTGGCGAACTTCCCATCCATCCAATGACTCTGGAGACTTAAATTTGGCAATCAAGAGCTTGCTCTTACTGCTTTTACCAGCCCGTAATTGCGCCAACTTATTATTGTAATCCTGAAATTCAGAGTTGTCATGAAGCCTGATATTTAGGCTTTCAATTATCATGCAATGATACATCATCTTTGTATAATTCAATATAGTAAAAGAATTCATCTGTAGTTAATTTAACAATGGCACAAACATTCAACACATGGGAGAGAAGATGTTAAAAATTTCAAACAACATTGACAGACCTGAAATGCTTTAGTAAGGTTATAGACTCCTCGGTAATCAACCCTAAAGAGATCGGCAGTGATAGGAGAACGAGCAGTGGCACAATATATTATTTTGTTACAACCTTCCACAGCAGCCTTGAGTGTATCGGAGTCACCAACATCCCCAATTACAACCTCTACTGACCTTGGAAGCATGTCAACCACCTCTGGGTCATCCTTCCTTACCAAAGCCTTCAGCGCAGAAAAAAAGTTTCAATGGAATCACAAATAGTAGCTAATAACATTTAAATGGGTCATTTATACAATGACCAGCATCTTTTTAAGTGTAGCTTTTAAAGGGAAACCGACTGCCTCAAATTCTTTTACTGAGCAGCATAATGTCCTTAAAAATTAAATAAAAAATCATTATGCAACGAAAAAAAATCATTGAAAGTAAATGCCTTGGCAAAGCAATTTGCACAATGCACCGATTCGACTTTGAACTATTTGTGAAAAGCCCGCTTTAAAAAAGAGAATAATAATTCCCCTCAACCATCATCTTTAAGAAATTAAACCATTCTACTCATTTTCACAGAGTAAACCATCTCAAACTCCTGTTGCATGGAGCACTGCTCTCACAGCACGTTCCGCCATTTCTTGTTACTCTTCTTTCAGTTTCTTCCCTAACATACAATAAAATAAATAATAAACCTAACCCTTCTTTTAAAATTTATAAGAGAAGCCTCAAAAGAGAGCATGAGCATCAAGCCGCCATGGAACACCGAGAAAGTTATATTCTTAAACAAGAAAGGCCTGAAAATTCTGGTTTTGTGTCTCCTAAATGATCTTGTTTCGGAATGTCAAATACTTCTCAAACCCACGTGACACCATCGAGGAGCAACTTCGTGATTCAATTGACGTAAAGAAAAATAAAACAGAAAGAATTCAAATTCTACACCATATTATATAAAAGCGTGCGCTTATCAGGAAAAAAAATATGAGCATTTATGGGAAAAAGAGAGAGACAGATTAAAAACGACCTCTAACTTTTTCCGGGGCTGAAAGAAGATAACCCATATTAAAGAACATCAATTTCTGGAGTAACCACATGAACTATTCAATAAAGATTCGTAATTATATAATTTGGCATATAGTGGTTCGATGCAGCTGTGAATAACGCTGGTGAAGAACGACTTATACAGTATAAGTAAATAAAAGCACGGAGTTGTGAAAAAAGGCAAGGCACCTTCACGCTGTAGCCCCTCAGCATGAGCTTGCGGACAACAATGCGACCAATGCGACTAGTGGCACCAACCACGAGCACAACAGTATTTTGAGCGCCCGGGATAGCGAACTCGCACATGGGCCCTTCTCGTATGAGAAGAGCATCAAGAGCCTCCTTATCATCAGCGCGTATAGTCCTAGAAATCTGACCCAATTCCGAGAACTTCCTCCAAACTTCATCAAACAATTGGCGTGATCTTCGACCCAGACCTACCGGGTTCACGTCGTCTAGCCTAATCGACACGGACGGCGGCGGCGGTTGCGGTTGCGATTCCTGCTTCTGTGTCACTTGAATTTCATCACTACCTTCATCACCATTTTGGGCATTTTCACTCTTGATTTCCTTGCTAGTATCTGGAGCCGCAGCCCTAGGAACTAACAGGAATGGAGACTTACGCTCCAAGGAAGTGCGGCACCGGCGAAAACGATGATCCCAATTGATGTTAGGAAAGGAAATTGAACCAAGAAGATCCGAAGAGAGTCTACATTTTGAGTGGTGATACACAGTGTTATTGCTGAAACTGGAACTAGCTGTGGTCGCCGACGATATGGCACTCATGATCTAGCCGTTAGCATTCGGCAAGTTAACCAAGAAGATCCGAGAACTCGGGATGGCGAATATATGAAACTATAACGAGTTTTGATTCAGTTTGCTCTGTGCAGGAACTAGAAAACGCCAGTGGAATCTGTATCTTACTCAAACATGAGGACAAGGAGAGGAAGGAAGGGTGGGAAAAGACAAAATTTGAACCACAAAAATTGGGCAAGAACAATCTTGTCCTCAAAGACCGGTGGCTCCGGTGCTTCCATGTAGACGTTCTAGTTTCCGTTTGTTAAATTGTTTTTTTATTTCTCGCCATCTCATGTCTTTTCGCAGCCAGTCATTTGGGGACAATTTTTTTAATTAAAGAGGAAAAAAAATAAAAAATTATCCATTCTGCGTGACTATGAAGGGGGCTCGGGTGATTTTTGTGGGCCACCACTCCACGCTCAAGGTTAGAAATTTAGAATGATTAAAAAAAAAAAAGGTTTCGATTATTTAAATATTTTTACTAATATATACCATCATGGGAAATGATCTCACTCCCCAAATTTTGGAAAATAAAATTTACAATACTTTTATCAAATGCATTTAGCAAGCGAGAACGCGTCTCAGTAAATTTTATTATTGAATAATTTAATGTAAAAGTCCACATATTAACAACATTTCTTTCATTATTTACAAAGCATGTTAATTATTTTGGCAACTAAAAACAACTTTTTCTAAATGTTAAATTTTAAAATTATTTAAATAAATAAATCAAACCTCTTCTTTAGATGATTTACCCTAGCTGTTTGTCAATTCATTATAATACATTAACTATGATTTACCCCAAAGTTATTAGAGAAAACTATACTAACTAGTCAACCATCATCAAACTAAAGTCTCACCAACTGAGGGTTGGATTTAGCAGAAGGGATTATTCCCTCGTAACATAACGAACTAGGGTTTGAATTCTTGCTAAAAATGACATCCACATTTAATGAAAATCAACATGTATAAAAAATGTGAGCTTTTAAAAACTCAAATATATTAAAATTGAGAAATCTGTATAGAGGTATTTGACGTCAATGGAATATTCTCAATTAAATAGACAGGGAAATTAAAATATGCAAGGGAACCGCCGCACATTTGCAAGTGAAGTTGCAAATAGTTGATGGTGAGGTTGTCCTGGCCGTGAGGGGGGGAATGAGTGTTGCCTTGTGAGGAGAGGAGAGAATTAAGGCGAGCAAGGAACTAGCGACCATGATTTGCCGAATAGATCAAACGGTGCAAAAGCATGAAGAGGAAATAGAGGAATTCGGTCTTTGGGTTTTTAGAACAACAGCAAGTTACATTGGGTTAAGACATTGTTTTTTTCCCTTTTAAATTCTTCTCTAACCCGATGATAGCTTTATGGTTACGGCAAAACAACTTTCATCGTTATTCTTTAGTGACCTGTGGCTCAAGTTTCACTTATAAGATCTTTAACCTCTACCTTTTCAAATTTATTATTATTATTTTTTTTAAAAAAAATCTCTTTAAACCTTCCAATCTTTTATTAGCTATCTCAAAAATTGAACCCCCTTCATGTGTTCATTACTTGTAAATAAGTGAGAAGTAAACAACGGAAAAAAGAAAATTACAAAAGAAAGAGAAGTTCCTTTTTTAGTTTTTTTAGTTTTCTCTTCAATTATATTTCTTTTGAACTATATTAATTATTTTCTTGCTTAAATTCCTTATTTTTACTGAGCAGTTTGATTTCTAAGCCTACACCGTACACACATTCAGTTTTATACTTGGGTCTAAAATTACTCAGGTTAAGTCAAGATTTATAATAGTTTTTCTGTGCGGTTTTGAAATCCCTGGAGGTTACTATAAAGACTGCACTCGTATCATTACTTACCAATTATAAACCCTATGGAGCTTTTAAGGTTGGATTAGGCTTGTTGAATGGGTTTTAGAGCCACTCATATAATAGTTTTTCTGCAGGCTTAATTTGCCACCTATCAACAGCCCATCTCTCACAAAGTTTCCCCTCCCCTTTTCGTTCCATTCCATGTTTGCACCACTCTTAAGTGATGACAATCCCCTCCCTTCTTTCTGTTTTCTACATCGTCCACATCCATTGAAAAACTAATAAAATTTTAAATGTTAATATATGACAAAATATGTGTAGAAATTTAAAGTAGATAAAAATAATTAGAGATTTAAAAAATTAATTTTTTAAATTATTTATAAATTCATAACATATATCTACTTTGTAATTTGGTAGAAAATGCTAGTAGTAATTTTAAAATAAATATTATTTATATAGGATTAATAATTATATATATTTTATACTTAAACATAAATAAGAAAAAGTTCCTAACATATACTGTTGTAGCATTAGTTCAAAGTTCATATTACTCAAAGCTAAATGTAATGTATTTATATTTTTTATTTTTTTTTAAAAAGCCACCTTAGATATAATTATCAATCTTATATAAAATAATACTATCTCGAGTTGAATTTAGTCATAAATATAAGATATTAATTTATTTTTTCATCATGTTTATTATTTTTTTTCCAAACTAATCCTATTTATCACACATATTAAGTTTAGGTCTTATAATTAGAATTGAAGGTAGTATATAATTATTAATCATAAATAAATTACTGTTATGAATATACATGTAAATGTCCATATCTCTCTCATTTTTTCCTAATATCTCACATTATCTCCATAAGCTCACAATTATCTTATATTATTATGTAATCTATAGATCCTATTAAAGTTGTAAAGTTGCTTCTATAAATAAATAGAGGCTATGTATCATGTATTTAATACTTTGCATGAAATGAAAAAACTCTTGTCTTCTCTTCTTTCTATTTCTCTACTGTTTCTTTAGTTTTATGTAGCAAGTTATATAATAAAAAGCTCTTGACTATAGTGAATAATGGCTTTAATATGCTTGCTTATGAAATTCTTGTTTACCATATAAAGGTACATGGATATGTATTACATTTCTTATTTTTATTATATTTTCATTTATTTAATGATTATGATCATCTCAATTTGATATCAATGACTTCATGTGTTCTATAAAGTACAATAATAAATTTACATTTTCTTATTATTTTTTGTTATACTCAATTATTCATATTTTACATTTTATTAATTTAAAGTTTAAATTCTTATTGTTTGTAATATTCAATTTGATATATGTTAATATTACTCCCTCCGGTTCTAAATATAAGACTCATATTATAATGTAAATTATACTATAAAATGAGTTTTATATTTAGGACGAGGGAATATAATTTTATCTTATTAAATAGGTTATTATTTATTTTTTTGAATTTTGGCAAAAAGCACACTTAAAGCGGGATTCTTTTACAACGAATTAGGGAGTGTTTGGCAACCTCCAAACCATGGTTTCAGAAGTACTTTTCCGCAAAACGAGACAAACTCCTCCACATATTTACTTCGTAAACCGTAAAAGCATTTCTGAAACCATGATTTGGTTTCTATCCAAACACCCCCTTATGCTCAAAAGCTCACCTTTTCGTAATTATAAGGATAATTACTTTGGAAAAAAAACTACAGTTAAAAACCTCATCACTCAAAATCTTTTATTTTATTTAATATTATCTACAAAATATAAATGATATAAAGATTTTGTGATGATCTTTTATCCTTATAATTAGATTTTAGAAAAAATATATAAAATAAATTAATTATCTTTTTATTCATTACAATGCATTTCTTTTCACAAACCCCTCAAAATTTCTATAGTTTATAAAGAGGATAATGTAATTATCTTTTCTTTTATTTATATGAGTATGTAATAATGAAAATCACATTGATTAAGACTCTACAAGAGTTAAAAATGTTAGATTCAACAAACACTTAAGTACTTACTTAAAAGCAAGAGGTTGTAAATTTAACCCTTTAGTAGTGTGTGAATTTTTTTCATTGGGTGAAATATGAAAATATAAGGCTCAAGAAGAGACTTATTATGGTTTATTATACCCATTGATAGCTAAAAGTAATATTACAATGTATGAGCTTCTCTTGTTGGGTGAAGATGAGGGTATAAGATTCTAGAAGAGTTGTATCATAATTTATTATCACCACTAATATACAACCACAAATTTATCAATGATTAAAAATAATATTATAATAAATACGAAGTTTATATCTATATTGTTTAGTATAACCAGTTAGATCATCTTGAATCATAATTGTAGAAAGATGAAGGCGTAAGCCCACTTAAAAGGTCCTAATCAGTTAGATTATTAGTTAGTGCTTTATTAATTAATTTATATATCAGTTAAATTAGAATAAATTAGATGAGATAAGATTTGTTTTTATCATGATTTAAATTTTGATTTCAAGATATTAGCTTTTTTAGGCTTTTTATCCTTTATTTTTACTCTATATATATATATATATCAAGAAAATGCATAAAATAAAGCTTTAAAGACGAGAATCAATTTTCATTCTTATCCTCTATTTTCTTTTGGCATAGCGCTAGGTTTAGTTGTATCGCATAAGACTATGATACCTCTATTGTGTGTTTGTCCCTCTCGTTTCTCCAAAAGCTCGGACAGGCCCTAGTAGCATGCGATCATCTCCATATGACTCTCTTCAGTGCGTGATTCTTTAGTGCGCACTATCTCAACACACGATTTCTCTCTGCAGCAATTCGGTTGTAGCACTTAAGTCCTCCCAACACACTTCAATTTGGTAAGTATGGTTTATACATAGCTAGTGCAAGCTAGACCCTAAAATAACAAGCTCCACGGTGAGAATTATCTCCCATGGTCCCAGTTAGTGCTCTTGTTTGTGAGAGTAGCGTCCCGTTAGGAATTCTTTTGACAAGTGGGGGGTTTTGCTACAGTATGTTCATCTACTGAAACAGAATAAAACTGAAATCCATTTAGGGGGCATGATCTGAGAGAGTTCTTCTGTTGAGAAAATGCCTTGGAATACTGATAATGGCAGGGGGCTCTCTATCAGTGAACATATATAGAGCATCTTGGGTACAAGTTGGGAAGTGAAGATCTAAAAAGAGAGACTATTTTAGACTCTATAGACCATTTGATAGTTAAGACCGGCCATAATATAGCTTGGGGATCCTGTTCAGCTCCAATGATTTGGATTTGGACTTTGAGTAGAGACTTTGGGAAGCAGTCTGAT